GCTGCGGGAGTGGTGAGACGCTCGAGCCTGACTGCGCCATTGAGCCTGACCTCACGGGCGAAACTTATCGAGGAAATGTGAGTCTTGTGCCTGTGTTCTGTGCGTCGCGTCGCAGCAGACTATGAAAGAAAGCAGAGTTAGCTTCTACGTATATTAGAATGGGGCACGTAATAGACTTGGGGCTAAAAAAGGCGGTGGGGGTAGGCAGCGACGGGAAGATTGGGGTGGCGGAATGAAGCGGCGACCACGCAACGCACAGCTGCGTTTGCTTCAATTGAGTCGCACAGGGGAACCGCCGGGGCCGCAACTCGACTCACGTGTCGCACGGGCAGCGTCGAATCACCTGAGCCGAAGACACTGAAGCGCGTTGCCAAAGAACACCTGTTTACGTTAGCCCCCCTGGCGTGTGGGTGTAACTCCCCTGGATTGTTTATGCCCGATTCTCATCCCCGTTGCTTTCCGTTTCACGCGCGGGTTGTTTTGCTGGTGAGTAATGACGAGTGAACAGCTGCAGTTGGGGGGGGGAGTGAGGAAACTGGTGAGTGGTGCTTCGCACTTTAATTACCGAATTTGCCCGAAATGCACCCGAACGTACCGATATAAACAACTCGTGCTCTGTGAGGTGAACCGCTCTGCGGCAGAGCAGAGAGCCAGATTGCTAGGCGTGGGCGTCCACGCCACGTGATGTGTACATTAGACGCAATTAGAGCCACAACAACTTCGACACAGTCGTGCGACATGATGCGGTTCCTAGAAATCAGTGAATCCCGGCTTAGACGTCACGCTTGCTGAATGCCCGGAGTGACGTAGGTATCACCGACATAAGTGGGGTGAAAGCTACAAATTCCATTATCCAGCCAATTTCAAGGCTCTATATGTATCAATACAGAGCAGCACACGAAGGAAATTGAATAATTTGCATCATACGTTCTAGACATTTTCAGGGCACCGCACGAAGGAAATGCTTCATTCATGATATTCACGTGAAGGCAACCAGAATGCTTGAGGCACGTGAATTGACTTCAGTCGCAGATGCGCTACGGTTTCCCCCAGCTGCCAAAGACTCAAGCGTGCAGACAAACAACCCCAACAATCGCGGAAGGTATCGGTCTGGCATGGTGACAAAAACCTCCTATAACAAATACGCTGAAGTTCTAAAAGTTGTTTCCAAAACTCGGAACTAATTTACTGCCATTAAAATGTGTAATTTAAAGTAGATATATATTACACTCACAAATTTTATCATGAAGTGTATCATGCAGAATTACATACCATAAGTAATCCCATGAATCTACACATCGAACACCCCCGGATGGCATATGCGGACATGAGAGCTGCATTAAGACAGCATATGAGCTTTCTCTTAAAGTCATGCCATTTCATTTCCGGAAAAAATAGATTTCAAGGATGCTGTAAGTCTATGTTATAGTCTGTCTTGCCGGGAATCTGGTTTGTAATGTGATATGCATTCTGGTTTTGTCCTAGCTTACAGAACAAATATCCTCTTGAGGTAACTCAGTGTACACTAGTACCACTGCCAATCAGCAGTGCTTCTGGCGGCAAGCCCATTCAGCTGGGCTGTGAATTCGGAATCCCCGAATGACGGCGGATGGTCAAGTCCAGTCTGAGGCTGATCAGGCTCTCCTTATGCGGTGCCTGTGCTTCCGTTGCGTGCTCTTTCCTCCTTCACTGTGAGGTGAAGGCGTTGATTTTCCGCTGTCAACGTCATCCTAAGTGCCGCCGTTGTAATCATGTTTCGTATGAGATCGGAGACGGCTGGTGGTCGACAACGCCATTAAAAGCGTTTTGGCAATGAACTTTTTTTTTTCTTAGCCCTGGAGACTTTAGAATGGTCATCAATCTCAGAGGAGAGTCAGGTTCAGCCCGCGTCTAGGGCTCAAGGAAAGTCCGCCTCATTTTTGCGACTCGGTCGCACCCGTGAGCACTGAATTCTGCGATTCACTGAACCTAATTCTTGGCTGCTGTATATCGTGACCCCCTGAAGGTGCCTGCATTGGCTCCCATGGCGACGAATCTCATGAAGGGTGGTCTCGCAGGCTTAAGGACGAGCTCGGTTTTCGTTTTTGCATGCCTTGTAGCAGCGCTCGTGCCGGCATGTTCGTCGATCGGCCCCAAACCTAGCATCTCGCCTCTCTCCGCGTCTCGCGGCATCGCGCGTCGCCATCGCATGCGGCGCCCAAGGCGGGCCCGCAGATCAGCAGCCTGCTGCTACTTCTACCACCACCCCCCGCGCGCAATCCCGTTCGATTCCATCTTCTCGGATCCAACGGCTGCTTCAGTTGGTAGGAAACGCGCTATATTAATCGCTTATTCGATCCATTCGTTCTTACGATCCTTGCTTCCGTTTCGCTGGCGTTGTCAATCCATGGCGATCGCTGGGAGCTGTAAACGAGCGTAGTTCGCCGTCAACCCCGCTGTCCGCTCTTCTGATCTTCTCTCCCCCTATGGTAACGCGTGCGTGGGTGCCGTGCAGGGCATGGGACCATCACGACCTGCTGCACGTGCAGCTCTCTCAACACCTCTCCGATGACGTTCATTCGCCCACGCCAGTAGCAGCAGCAGGAGCGGCAGAGGCAGGGCAAGCGTGGGGGGTCCCATGGCAGCAGCAGCAGTGGCAGCGGCAGTGGGCGCGCGGGGGGGGGTGTTCAACGAGCGCGCTGATCTCGTCCATGGCGCCATACTCGGGTGCGCCGCGCACCACGGCCGTCATCGCCACGCCACGGACCTGCTCTCCGGCCAAGTGCTGCGCTGCGAGGTGCGCGTGGGCGCGTGTGCTGGGCGCGTGGGCGCGTGTGCTGGGCGCGTGGGCGCGTGTGCTGTCTCTCCTGACCGACCCACTTCTCCCACTCACACCCCTCTCCCCTCCTGTCTCCCCTCTCACCCTTCCTGTCTCCCCCTCTCCTTACCCTCTTCCCCACGTCCCCTGCCTTCGCCCCGTGCCCCGCGGCCCTCGCCCCGTCACCTCTGGCTTGTCACCCCCCGCCCCTTGGCCCTTATCCCCTGGCGAGTGCCGCCACAACTCCCCCCTCTTTTGGTGCCCCACAGGTGCGAGTGGACGTGGTGCAGCGTGTGGCCATATTCCACCGCAGCCTTAAGATGGGCCTCTCCTCGCTCGCGGATCTCGAGGTGCTTGCTTTCAACGACCACGGTGAGCGCGCTGGGGGAGGGGGGGGGTGTGCAGGGATCGGGGTGCGGGGGGTGCTGGGTCTAGGGTGCATGGCGTGCGGGGGATGTGTGGTGCGTGGGTCACAGGGAGGCGGTTGTTTTGCCGGGTGGGAGTGAAGTGTGCCTGTGCGTTTATGTCAACGCGAGTGTCTCGTTTCGTCCTTTGTAACCCCCTCTCGATCTCCTCCTCCTTGCCTCTCTCTCACTCAACTCTTTTCCCGTCCCCCGCTCGTCACCCCTGCTTTTTTCCACCACCGCCTCTTGCCAGCCCTGGGCCCCCCTTCTTTGCCATGCTCCCCCTCAATTCTTGCTTACCCTCAATTCTTGCTTACCCTTAACCGTTACTTCCTCCCCTCAATCCCTGCTTTTCCCCACCCCTGCTTCCCCCTTCTCCCCTGCTTCCCCCCCCCACCCCTGCTTCCCCCACCCCTGCTTCCCCTCAACCCCTGCGCTCACCTGTTGCCCCCCACCAGGCGACGTGTTCTCATCAGTGGCGGGCCTCACCTTCCGCTGGACCCTCACGCCCCTCGGCTCGCCCCTCCCCGTCCACCGCCAACCTGCGGCCTCCTCTGCGCCACGTGGCGACCAGGCATTGGAGCACCGCCTGCAGCACGTGCCCCTGGAGGAAGCGGCGCTGCTGCTGGCAGGCGGAGAGGAGGGGCGCGCGCGCCAGGGACGACCTGGGGGTGCGTGGTGTGGGTGCTGGGCCGGGGGATGAGCAGTGGGAGAATTGTTTTGTCAGGGTGGGTGCTGTGGGGCCGGTGTGAGGAGCGAAGGCAGGAGAGTATGGAGAGGGACGGTTGTCAAAGAAGGCCGAATACAGCCGGGAGGTAGCAGCAGGAGCAAGGCGTCAGCAGTGCAGTGGGTCATCATGCGCCTCATCCTCATATCGCCCGCCTCTGATCCTGTGCCCGCATATGTGTCTGTGTATCCATCACCCAATCAGGTGGAGCGGTCAGACGTGTATGTGGTGAGGGGTGTGGCGCCGGGGCAGGAGAAGGTCTCCGTGCAGCTCATGGACGCTGATGTCACCGCCGCAGGAGCAGCAGCAGCAGGGGGTGCAGCAGCACTGCCATCGGATGCCATAACGCTGACGGTGGCGCAGGCCTTCTCCCTGCAGCCGCCCTCCCCCGTGCTGCTGCTGCCTGGCGCCCGCCTGCCCTTCCGCCTCCTCACCTTCACCCACAATGCTCTGCACCGTAGGTCGCCCGTACTGCCCACCCCTCGCCCTCCTGCACCTTGCCCCTCGCCTGCCCCCTTTCTCTTCCCACCCCTCCCGTCCCGTTTTGCCCACCCTCCGCTCCCTCCCCTGTCCACCCTCCTCTCCCCCTCATCATGCTGTTTCTTTCTGCTGCCGCGCGTCCCCTTCCCTTCATCACCCTCTTTTCCCCCTCTCCCGTGTCACCCCCATCCCAACTTCCTTCCCCCATCCTTCCAGCGGTGCAGCTGCCCTCCCCCAGCTACGCGTGGGCAACAGCCAACGCATCAGTGGCCTCGGTGCACCCCTCCCAGGGCGTGGTGACAGCCCTCGCCCAGGGCGCCACCACGCTCACCGCCACTGACGTGCGTGTCGCCGACCACCACCAGGCCGTCTCCATCCACGTCGTCACGCCTGGCCATGTCAAGATCTTCCTCGCACCGCTGGCGCCTCTCCCAGGGGGGAATGGGGGCACCGGTGGCGAGGGGGAGGTGTGTTCTGGAGCAGGTGCAGCTGGGGGAGGGGGTCTGCCTGGGGCTGTAGCCTGCAGGGCTGTGGCGGAGCCTGTGGCCAGTGGGGGGGACACGTGGCACCTTGTGGTTGGTCGGGAGTACGCTCTCTGGGTGCAGGTGTTTTCCCATGGCTGGCCCAGCCGGCCCGTGCTGCTCACACAGGCGGACACACTGCTGCTGCGCTTCGACCACCCACCCCTCTGGTCTGTCGTTGGGGAGGATGCTGCTGCGGTTGCCTCCCTACCGGCACAGGCGCCTCCTGCTTTGGAGGGGGGAGGGGGTGGTGGGGAGGAGAGGAGCAGGGTGGTTGTGGTGCGAGGGGGGCAGCAGGGGCAGGGCGAGGTGCAGGCTGAGCTGCGGTACCGAGAGGTGCAGAGCGGTGGGAAGGGGCGGGAGGAGAAGGTGGTGGCGGTGCAGGCGATTCGTGTGTGCGACCCCGTGCTGGTGCACCTGCCCTCCCCCACAACCCCCGCCTCTTCTTCATCTCCTCCTCCTGTGGACCCTGTCCACGTGGTACACCTGCCGTGGGTGCCGCAGCTTGACTCTGCGCCACCACCGCTGCGGCAGCACCTGCGGCTGCTGGCGTCGGGAGGTGAGCAGAGTCATGCACTGTGAGAAGAATGCATGGTAGGGAAGACATCATACATGTGCGAGAGCAGGAAGAACGTTGGTCAGACGATTGAGAAGAGTTGATCGAGGAAGTCAGACGCAGGAAGTTGCAGTGCATTGAGGGCGATAGAGTCAGTACAGCAGCTTCCCTTACTCTTGGAAGCCATTTTGAAAAGCTTACCATCGCAACCCATTGCTCGTACATTCCCGAATGGACCAGGGTGTGGCGAGCGAGCTGCTGACTATGTGTGGACCAGCTCTGACTCCACTGTCATCCACGTGGCGCCCTCTGGTTGGCTGACGGTGGCCGGCCCGGGTGTTGCGGTGGTGCGAGTGGCAGCAGCAGTGGATGGCAACAACTACCACCAGGTGCGGGGGGGGGTTGATAAGGCCCAGCCAAGGGGAAGGGCGGGAGTGGAAACGAGAAAGGGAGGGATGAGCGAGGTGGGAACGTGGAAGAGGAAGGGAGGATAAGAAGAGTGTTTTGCTGTTTCCAGTGCGTCGTCTCTACCTCGTTTGGAGCTTAGCCCACCATGCAGTCACAGTCACCTTCGTACAATTTCCAGACTGCACATGCGGCCATGCATGCACCACGCACATGCTCATATGCACACTCATCCATCCCCACCCATGTGCGTCCGGCCCGCACCTGCCTCTACCACCATGGCATGGGAGCAGGTGGAGGTGCGGGTGAGTGAGCCACGTGTCATGCAGGCAGTGGGCGAGGAGGAGGGCAGCGCGCTGCAGCTGAACGTGGGCGTTGAGGCGCTTGTGGGCCACTCCCTGCTGCTCGCTGCCCGCCTCCTCTCCTCCTCAGGTCCGCTGCTCTGCCCACCGCTTTCCCACACCCTTCTTGCATGCTTGCCGACCCTCTCTCCTGACCCTCTGCTCTATGCCTGGGTGCCCTCCAGATGTTCCTCCTTATGACCTCTCCACTCTTTCCTTCTTTTCGCCCTCGTTCTCTTCCACCACCCTTCTTTCTCAGGCGAACCGTACACCAACTGCACCGCGCTCAACCCATTCGTGCAGTGGCAACTGCAGCCGCTGCTCCCTGCCGCACCCCCTCCTTCACTCTCACCTCACCAGCCCTCCTTGCCGTGGTACCACCATCCGCCCTCTCGCCCATCTGTGTGTGGACCTCCCTCTCCGCCATAGCCCCTGGTCGCACACAAGCAACAGCCCTCCTACCATTGCCGCCACGCACAAAACCCGCTGATGCTGACGCCCCTGACAGTGCAGAAAAGGCAGTGGGGGGCGCAGAAGGTTCGAGTGAGGGCGTGCAGGGGGAGTGGGCGGTGGCGGGGTATGAGGCGATGCGTGTGGTGCAGGCAGGGGATGGGTGGCGCCAGGGCGGCTATGGGCTGCCGGACTCGCTTGCTGCCTCTGCTGCATCTGCCATCCCTGGAAGGCAAGCAGACTTGTCCGCAGCAGCAGGTGCGGATTCCCTACCATCAGCAGCATCAGCATCAGTACCGGGAGCAGTAGCTGCAGCGCTGGGCATCGGGGCAGGGCTGTCAGTGCCGGCTCTCCTGCTGGCGCCAGGGGCGTCCATGGCCCTCGCCCTCTCAGGCGGGCCCGACAGGTGGATCCCAGGCAGGCAGTTCCTGGACCACGTGCATGTGGCGGCCGTGGGGGCGGAGACGGGGCCGCTGGTGGCAGGCGAGGCGGAGGAGAAAGGAGGGGAGGGGCGGAGGGAGGGCGAGAAGGGAGGGGAGGTGGAGGTGGAGCAGGTGGGGGGGCGGGGTGGCAGGGGGTATGTGGTGCGGTGTGGGGGCAACGAGGCGTTCAATGGCAGCTACGTGAGTGCCAACTGTGCCCTGCCTCCTGCTCTTGCATTCCCTCCTGCTCTGCCTGCCTTGCTTCCCCATGCAACCATCCATGCTTGCACCCATCTACAAATCGCCGCCTGCCGCAGCATTCACCCCAAATGTCAATCAATCACTCATCACCAGTCCCTTTCCTCTGTTCCCTCGTGTGTCCCCTTTCCCCTTCTCCCACCCCACCACCCTCTCCAGCGTGTGACCTTCACCAGAGGCCACCAGCCGTCCTCGCATGCCTCGCCCGCCACCCTGCCCTCCGCGTCCATCATGCTGCACTGCGCGATGCCTGCTGCTGCCGCCATCCTGCTTGATGACTCCAGTGCGTCCTGCCCGTCCCTGCCTCTCATGCCTCCCCCTGCCTCTCATGCGCCCCCCTGCCTCTCTGTCACTCTCGTCTTGGGATCCCCTCACTCACTATGCTTTCCTCCCCGTACTACCTCGTTCCCGTCTGGCCTTCGTCCCTCTCAGTCCCTGTGCTGTGCCTCCTCCCTTTCCGCTTTCCCCCTCACCACCGCAGCTCGCCTCCCTGCAGCCATAGCAGCATCAGCAGCCTCATGCCATCCACCAACGGGAGAATGCCACGTGGCACCAATCACCCTTGTGACACATCAGCACGTGCGGCTGGTCGCTGCAGCCCTCTCCTCCTCCATTGCGCCCTTCGCCAACGCGTCCAGCCAATGGCTGCATGCCACGTGGCAGCTGGAGGGGTGTGATGACATGGCATGGTGGGGCGCGGACGAGAGCAGCAACGGGGGAGTTGGTTCAGGGGAGGAGTGGAGCAGATGGGTGCACACAGGCGACAATGGAGGCGAGGTGAGGGAATGGATGGGCGGGAGCGGAGGGGGCTGTGGGCAGTGAGTTTGCATGAGATGAGTGCAATGCTGAGGTTCTGCTGGCAGTGCCATGGATGGCTTACTCACCTTCGCCTCTGCTCTTTCTAATGCCCTGCCGTGCGCCTGCCAGTGTCGGGTGCATGTGGATGTGACGGCACCGCACGCCAAGGGGGGCTGGCTGCACATGAAGCTGGAGGGGCAGCCCGCACACGGACGCCTTCCATCTGCGCGCCTCCGCCCTCCTGCAGGTACCCTCCCCTCCCCTCCCTACTGCTCGCCTCACATCTCTCTCTCCTCTCGCCGCACCTGTGCTTTGCTGCTCGCCTGCTCTTTCTTCTGCTTTTGCCTACTTGCTAACCCTGTTTGCTGCACCAACTATTGTGGGTGTTGGCTTGGTCGCTCATGCGTGTAGTCCCCAAATGCCCGCACACTGACTCGAACCGTCTCCTATTCCTAAATGTGATTGCCCATGCCCCTGCGTGCGTGCATGCAGGTGGTGAAGGCGCTCAGGTTGGAGCCACAGGCGGTGCTGCTCGTCAACCACCCCCACGCCCATGTACGTGCCCTTCGCTTGCCGCCTGCATGCCACTCTGCATGTTTGGACCCTGTTCGCAGCAGTCCTGTTTTGCTCGTGCAAGCATTCGCCTCACACCTCCCAAACCATTCATGGCATCCCATTGCGTCTTCCGCTCATGTCCCCCAGGCGGATGTGACAGTAACGGGGGAACCTACGAGCTTCAGTTTTTCATCTCCGACCAATCAGTGGCTGCCATTCTGCCACGTGGCACAGCAGCAGCAGTCCAGCTGGCAGCGCGTGCACGAGGCGATGCCACGTTGACAGCAGTGGACGCTGGCCTCTCCCATCCGCTCTCTGCCAACGCCTCGGTACCTCCCCCATCCCGTTGGCACCTCATGTGCCAATACGTGCTCTGCCTGCCTTTCTTCCGATACCCACTCCCTGCTGCTCTAGTATCTTCCTGGTACCGTGCCTTCATTTCTGTGGGCAGGCTGTAGGGTCATCCCTGTCATGCCTCCTACACCTTCTCCCTGCCTGCCCACACCCTCCTGTCTCACTCTCCCTTCCCCTCCTCTCTGCCCCCACATCGCCACCGCATGTCCCAATCCGCCAATCAGGTGTCAGTGGCTGACGTGGCATGGGTGCGCCTGCATCCCGAGGGCGCACAGCCGTCCACGTCAGCAGGGGCGGGCGAGTGGTGGGTGCAGGTGGGCGCTGTGGCGCGCATCACAGTGACAGTGGGGGACGACCGCGCCCGCCTCTTCCCCGCCTCGCAGGTGCGCTCACCTCCCCCACCTCCCCCACCTCCCCACCTCCCCACCTCCCCCACCTCCCTCCATGCTTCACGATGCTGTCTTGCTCCTTACAAGACACATCATCCTGCGTCTTGCACACTCAACTTAACTCTGTGCTCCTGCACAGTCTACTATGTGCACTTAGACGCGTAGAATAACCCCTGTGCGTTTGTCCTCTCTCCCACCCCTTGGTCCGCGCCTCTCAGTTCGCATGGATGGGGTTGGAGGCGCACGGCATGGCGGGCGTGGTCGCCCTGCACTTGCCCTGCTCACGCCCCTCTGCTGCTGGGGATGACGTGGCATGCTCTGATTCGCTGGAGCTCACAGGGACTGCTGTGGGGGTCACCACTGCCTTCCAGGTCCTCTCTTTCCCCTCCTCCCCCCATTTTTACCTCCCCCTTCCTCTCCCTACACACTCTCCTGCTGTTTCCTTGATCCGATTGACTTCCCCCTTTCCCCACTCCCCGAACCCCTGCTTCGTCTCTCTCCCGAGTCCCCACCCCACCCCATGCGTCCTTTCACACACTCATTAATGCCCTGTCTGTCACCTGCTTGATTGCAACACAACACCCACAACGAATCTCCCATCTCTCCCAGGGGCCCTTATTGCCCCAATCCCCTCTCCCTTCCCTCTCTTCCCCTGGCTTCCCTGCCTCCCGCCTGGCCCCTTTCGCCCCTGTCCCCCCATGCACCTACGGGCGAGCAGGTGAGCGCGGGCATTCACGCGTCCACACGGAGGGTGTTTTCAGACGCCGTGCGCATCACCGTGTATGCGCCCCTCGCCCTGCACCCGCCCTCGCTCACCCTCGCCCCGGGAGCATCATACATGGTGCGTGCTCCTGCCCCACCCCCACTCCTCCCTGCTCCACCCCTTCCCAACACTTTCCCTTTCTCCTTTTCCTACATGCCCTCTGTTTCTCTTCTTGAGCAAGCATGCATGCATGGTGAATAATCAATGTCTGCCTGCTTCTGTTTTCTGTGGTATGTTTTCGCTTCACCTTGCTCTTACATCCATCGCCGCCCATCCTCCCCTCCTTGCCCCCTGCCACGTCATCAGCTGCAAGCCACAGGCGGTCCCTCCTCCCCAACCACGACCATCGCATTCGCCTCCTCCAATGCTGACGTGGCGCACGTCGATTCGTCTTCTGGCCTCGTCGCATCCCGAGCGCCTGGCACAGCTGTCATCCGAGCCATGGCGCTAGGCTCGGCAGGGCAGGTGTTGAGCATTGCCGAGTCTCGGGTGGAGGTTCGGGTGATGGAGGCGGTGGGACTGAGTGTGGGCAGCGGGCAGCTGGCAGTGGGCGAGGAGATGGCCGTGTTTCCCACCGGGGGCATGAGGTGAGACGTCAAGATCTGAATTGCTGTCTTCTTACCCCTCTTCCTTGTCTCCCTCTTCACCTCATCTATCCCTTTTCCTCACCATCTTTCTCCTCTTCTTTCCCGCATTTTCTCCCCCACCATCAGGGAGAGGATTTGCTCTCATTCGCACGTGTGTGCCACGGCTACCAATGGAGCGTCAGCCACAACCAGGTGAGCCCACCACCCACGCCATGTCACGTGGATAGTCTGTGTGGGGTGCCATCCCTTCCACCGACCTCGCCTATGCCTTTCACACCCACCTCGCCTGTGCCTACTCTCTCAACTGGCACGGTTCGTATCGTCCCTCACGCCACTCCTCATCCCGTCCACACCCTTTCCCAACACAGCTGCTGCAGCTACAAACGGCGCCATCGCTCGATGCGCAGGTGCCTGCCAGCACCGCAGGGGCGGCCAGCAGCAGCAAGAGCGGGAGTGACAGTGCCACTGACAGTGGCGGTGCAGCGGTAGACATTGGCTTCTCAGCGCGAATCACTGCCAGGTCAGCTCAGCTGCACAGCAACGCAGGAGCAAGTGCCTCTGCTTGCTGCTGCTCCTTTCTTTTTCCGCGCTTCTTCTACATTCCATGCCATGCTCTTTCTTCTTCCTCCCGATCCCACCTCCCTGCCGTTGTTCTCTCATCCTCCCCACCACCTCTTTCACCTCAGGGCGCCCGGCACAGCCACAGTGTCTCTCACCTTCGTCTGCTCCTTCCCCACCTCCTCCAAGCCCTCAGCAGCCCCCCTCCGTCGCTCCTACTCCGCTTCTGCCTCCGTCTCCATCGTCCCCACGCCCCCTCTCGCGCTTGGCATCCCTGCCACGTGGCTGCTGCCCATTGGCTACACCTCCTCCCCTCTCCTCCCGCCCTCCCTCACAACCACCGCTTCCCAAGGAGCACGTGCTGCTGTTCCGCGCTACACCTACTCCTTGCTGCAGGACCAGGTGACCGCCCTTCTCACCATTCCCTCCTGCTCTCCCCTTTCCTCTTGCCTATCTCCTGCATTGACCACGCTGCACCGCTCTCAGCACCCTGTCCTTCTCTCCCTTGTACCCCGCCCGTCAACCCCCAGTCACCTCTGGGCAGCGGGCACGTGTCGCTGGCAGCAGGGGGGCGAGTGGCAACGGGCGAGCGGGCAGCGTTGGGGTGCATTGCAGTGGCCGACTCTGCCAGCGGCCGCCACGACATCGCTGCCTGCGTGCGCAGCGCTCAGGTGAGGCTTCTGCTGCGCCCAGGTGGAATGGAGGCCTGCCATTGGTGTCTCCATTCCTGTAGCGTGTGCTGACTGTACGACGTTCCCTTCGCAGTTGTGTGTGTCGCTCTGCTGTGGACAAGTGACAGCAGTTGTGAGTCACCTTTACTGCCTCCCTGCTCTCCCTCGTCTTCCACTCACATTTTCGACTCCCATCTCCTGCTTCTCCACCCTCTCTTTTCGTCCCTCCGCACCATTCACCCCATTCCCTCCCTCCCCTCCCGCGCCACCGCCAACCCCTGTGCGCCATGGCAGGCAGCGCAGCTGACGGTGGGCGACAACGACTTCCCCTTCCATGCCGCTGAGCTCTCTGTGCCCGCCCACCAGCTCTTCTCCGTTCACCTCCGAGACAGCCTCGGTAAGAAACAGATTAGGTGAGATGCAAGCACTGTGGTTGCCCGATTGATCATAGGGAAGGTTACAGGCTTGCCGGCCTAGTGCCGCCGGACTAGTGCCCCCGGACCAAGGCGCGCCCCCGGACCAAGGCGCGCCCCCCGGACCAAGGCGCACCCCCCGGACCAAGGCGCGCCCCCGGACCAAGGCGCGCCCCCGGACCAAGGCGCGCCCCCGGACCAAGGCGCGCCCCCGGACCAAGGCGCGCCCCCGGACCAAGGCGCGCCCCCGGACCAAGGCGCGCCCCCGGACCAAGGCGCGCCCCCGGACCAAGGCGCGCCCCCGGACCAAGGCGCGCCCCCGGACCAAGGCGCGCCCCCGGACCAAGGCGCGCCCCCGGACCAAGGCGCGCCCCCGGACCAAGGCGCGCCCCCGGACCAAGGCGCGCATTGCCAGTCGGCACTGTCAGACGTCACCCTCCAACAGCCAACGAGTGCGCTCACCTGTTGGAGGCGAGCACCGTAACACTTGCTAACACGTGCTTACGGTACCGTACTTGCGACAGCCGATTTTAGTCCAAAAACTCGTTACTTCACCACACCCCATACTACTGTATCCTCGCCATGGCACCCCCAACAGAGATCATAACACCTCAGGGCAACAATTCATTACCATTCTGAAATTTCAGGGCCCTCAGGATGCACTATCCTGAATTTACAGGGTGAAGTTTAGCCAAATCCTGAAACTCAAGGGCACAGTACCTAGCAACACCCTGAAAATCAGGGTATCGGAATCTTTTATCCTGATATCGTAACGCCTGCTACCCTTGCCCGGTTTGCACTGTCTGCAGGAGTGCCCTTCCTGGAAGCTTCTGATGCGCGGGTGGAGGTTGACGTGGACAGGCCTGACGTGGTGTCAGTGGCCGTGGTGCCCAGCCTACCAGGGCCTGACACGTGGCAGCCTGCCAACATGACTGTGGTGGTGAAGGTGCGTGTGCGTGTGCGTTTGGGGGAGGGGTGGGGGGACAAGGAGGTGCATGGAAGTGGGGAAACAAGGCAGAGAGGTCGGTGCAGAGCATCTCTCTTCCTGGCTGCCTCCCACTCACCACCACCGCTGCTTTCTCTCTTCCCCTCATTTCCCTCTCTTTCCTCCTCACCCCCATCCCCCCTACCGTCTCTTCCCCTTCCGACCGCCCCTCTCCCCTCCAGGCGGTGCAGCAGGGCACAGCAGTGGTGCGCGTGAGGGTGCAGCCAGGGGCAGGGCGAGGGACACGTGGCAACCTGCCATTGGTGGACTTTATCACTGTAAGTGGAGAGTGGCCATGGGAAGGATGCTGGTGTATTCACTCAAGCACTGTGTTCTTCACTCACTCTCTCGGCAACCACTCACTGACTCACACTCACACTCACTCACTCACTCACTCACTCACTCACTCACTCACTCACTCTTGCTCTGCCTGCCATGCCATCCCACCAGGTGCAAGTGGGCGCGTACGTGTTCCCTCGGGATCCCCTTGTCCCTCTGGGTGCCTCGCTCAACTTCTCCCTCTCACACCGCCACCATCACCAAGGTACATGCCGACCACCTTCCATATGCCATGCAATACCATGCCATGCCATGCCATGGGCAGGAACACAGAGTCAACCTGTTGTGTGATTTCCCCTCTCCTCCCCTCCTCTGATCCTCTCGGCCCGCCCTTTTCCAGCCATGGGGGGCAGCAGGGGCGGCAGGTGGGAGAGTGGCAACAGCAGTGTGGTGGCAGTGGATGGCAGCACGGGGGAGGCACGGGCCGTGGGGGAGGGCACCACTGTCGGTCAGTTACCCCTTCACACCCGATGCGTACATCCCCTCCTCACTCACCACTCCTCTGCACGTCCTTGCACCCCTCTGTCTCAAGAGTAACCTTCTATTTTCTTTACCTTCTATTTTCTTGACCTTCTATTTTCTTTACCTTCTATATTCTTTACCTTCTATTTTCTTTGCCTTCTATTTCTTTACCTTGTATTTTCTTTACCTTGTATTTTCTTTACCTTGTATTTTCTTTACCTTGTATTTTCTTTACCTTGTATTTTCTTTACCTTGTATTTTCTTTACCTTCTCCTTTCTTATTGCCGACCTTGTGTCCTTGCATTTTTAGCATCCTCTTTCCCACAAGCACCCGCCTCTCCCTGTCCCCCATACCCTCCTCATTCTCAACTCCCTCGACTGTTCCCCCAGTGAGCTTCAATGCATCGCGCCTGACGTCATACACGAGGGTCACGGTGCTGCCAGTGGCGTCACTGCTGGTTTCCCCTCCGCCCTCCACGCTTCTCCTCTCCAACGCGCCTCCTCTCGCTGCGGCCGCCCGCCCCTTCCACTTCCCAGTCCAGTTCAGGTGCGGTGCGGTGCTGTGCGGTACGGTGCTGTGCTCTGCTGTGCTGTGCAGTGTGTGGGCTGGGTACCAACATTTATTATTGCTCTCCTATGATCCTATGACTCCACTGTATGAGCGCACAAGTTCTTGCCCACTCTGTGTCATTTCCCACTTCTGGGTCCATGCTTCCTCCATGCTCCCATGCGCCCATGCCTGTCGCCCATCCTCGTACTCACAGGGACTCGCGAGGCCAGCCCATGGGACGACCCGTGGGGTCCCCAGACGTGCCCTTCTCATGCCACGTGGCCCCCAGCATGCTCGGGTGAGTGGCAACACTGGTGTGCGCAACCACGCTTCCTTCACCCTCTGCACTACTCTCTCCCTCCACGGTACCACCACAATCACTCCAACTGCCCTCGTAACGGCCGTTCTTACTCCCCTCTCCATCTATGCCCCACACCACAGTGATATCATGCCCTCACGTTCCCCTCCCGTACCCATCCCCCTTCCCTCCCTTCCCCCTCTCCCTTTCTTCTCCCTCCCCCCATGCCCTGCAGCACGGCCGTGCCCCGCTTTGACACCGCTTTAAACTCCTACATCTGCTCCTTCACCCCCGCCTCTCCCACTCGCATCTTCTCCGCTCTCACCCAAGCCTCCTCCTCCTCGTCATCGTCAGCAGCAGCAGCAGCAGCAGCAGGGGGGGCGAAGTTGGGAGGAGCGAACAGAGACGGGGAGGGCAGTGGGGGAGGGGCAGTGGTGGTGGTGGTGGCGGCAGTGGTGGAGGCAGGGGCAGCGCAGGGTGCTCGCCCGCCTGTGAGAGGAGAGGCTGCTGTGCCGTTCGTGGGGGGCTTTGATGTGCTGGGCGCAGGCGAGGTAAGCCGCACTAAACAGTGAATGGCACATCACCGGGAACAAACAGTTTCTGCCATTCGCATTCGGGCTTAATGTGTTGAACTTCCCCCCTGTATTTTTCCTTCCCTGCTTGGAACGGTTTCTCCTTCTTTGCTTCAGCTCGACTCTTCCTCTCTCCACCTGACGGCCTTTGCATGTGTGTGCATGAGTGTGAGTGCAGATCTCTCTGTCTCTCGCCGCCAACACCACCACCATTCGCCTCGTTGGAAACACAAGTGAGATCACTGCACTGTTGCTAACTCTATTGAAATAGCGTCGATCAATTGCCTTGCAATCAAGCTGCTCACACGTGTCAGATTGAGGGCATTCGGTGAGCTCATCAGAACACCTCTAGCACCAACAACGATCAAGCTGGACGTTTGCATTGCTGCCCTCACAGCAGACTGGTTGTTTTCCTGTCACTCCAACTTCATCCTCTCCCCCACTGCAGGCTCGGTGCAAGTGGCATGGAGGCAAAGAGCGTCACTGGTGGTTAGGAGGACAGGCCCTGTGTCAGGGCAGGGTGTGAAGGGAGGCAGGCACAGCACTCGTGCTGCCAGTGCGCTCCGCAGCACCTCACCTGCCCCAGAAGGGCTTGCGGCCCTGGCAGATGAGACAGTGTTTGCCGTCCAGGTAGGCTTGGCTTGGTGTGAGCATGTTGCTTGTGTGACTCCGGCACGCCACACTCCCCTGCACGTGCGCTGCTGGTTTCTTTCCTAGTTTTTTCAGCCATTATTGCTTCTGCCTCCTTAGTATCCTCATCTGTGCCCCCATCTCTCTCCTCTGCTCTCTTGCCTCTCTGCTCTCTGCGCTCTGCTCTCACTCCAGGTTGTGCTGGGGGACCATGCTGACCACGCACGTGCATCGTTTGAAGATGACATCGTGTTCACTCATCTCGGCACAGGTATTTCACCTGCAATCATGCCACTCGCTGTTCTGCTCCAGCCAACGCACCACCACCACGACTTGCCAACACCCGCTGCATGCCACCCACTGCATGCCACCCGCTGCATACCATCCAACCGCCGTCCCCACCACTCGTACCTCCCCACACCCACTGCAGGGCAAAGGGAGACAGTGCATGTGACCTTCAATGCAGCTGCTGCCCCCGCCACCCTGGTCCCCCTCAACCTGCTGTGGCTCGCTGCACTCACCGCCGTCGTCGCCTCGGCCATCCTCCTCCTCCTACACCTCGTCAGCCCCGCCCAACCCTACATCCCCCACCCACAGCCCCCACCCTCGCCTCTCCCCACGCCGTCTCCTCAGCGCCCAGGGTCTGCGTTCCACACGCCAGGGTCCAGTGCGTTCTCTCCAGTGTCCCCTTACAGCCAGATGGGGTCGCCGAGTCCCGAGTATGTGAGCTATGCAGGCCGCACCATTCACCGGGCTCCAGGGTATACCAATCCTATGGAGGACCCTCGTAGCATGTACTGATTTGTTTTGTGAGACTGTGGGTGTACTTTTTTGTGTTTGGTTGGATTGGAAGGTGGAAACATGCCACCAGATGTGTGCTTCCATGAACATTCATGCACGACTATTGCTGTGAAAACGGCTGGCAAATGGAGCAGTTTGAGGCAAAAAGTCTGGAAACAACTATAACGGAAGGTAGGGCTCATTGGCAAAGGTGTACTTGATTTCTGTGTTTCTAGGTGACCATTTTCCACTTGTCAAAATTGAGCCACACAAGTTGGCGGCCAAGGGAAAGTGCTGCTGGCGTGGCGTCGTGTCAAGAGTTTTCAACCGAATCCGCCCATATGCTGCTCGTCGATCTTCTCGGGAGAAGATCATATTGGGGCCGAACATTAGCAGGGAAGTGTCCAAATTAGGGCCGGATAGCCGAACCTGAATTTTGGAGTCAACAACCGACTTTCCCATGCTAGCGTATGTGATTTCACTTGTCCGAGATTCTCACCGCCCCACGCGTCGTAACTGACGGAAAGTAAACTTTTTGTTTTTTTTTTTGTCGAAACATCTCTGTATTTTCCACTCGTTTGCGCTACCAAGCACTAGACGACGCAACCCGGAACTGTCAGGGCAGACCAGAAAAACTAAAACCCCTAGGGAACCTGGATGCATTTTCGGGAGGGATCAACCCTTAACACGGGAACCTCCCTGGAGTTTAGGGTTGATGCCTCCCCGAGTCGCATCCATTTCCGATTGGGTTTTATTTATTTTTTTGTCAGGAAAAGTGATGTGATTTTTCCAAGTAACAATCATGTACTGCTGTTCTAAAAAAATATAAACTCTACGAAACCACCCCCAGAGGAATTCGACGCGAGTTTCGTAATAGGCGGCGATCTTAATCTAAAACAAATCACTGAACAAAAACAGTCGATATTTTTAAATTTCCTTTAGGTCTCGGTTCGGAACAGGCCCAGCCACCTGGGCAGCCCCGGGGGTATATCCAACGGTCGGGATTTACCCGGCCCTAATTTGGTCACTTCTCTGCTAATGTTCGGCCCAGTTTGATATTTGCCCGAACTTCTCGTCAAACAAGTGGCTGTTTGACAAAAAGTGCAACGGGTTTGCCGGATAGATGACGAGTCGTGAGTTGGCAGCCAATGAGGAAAACAAATGACAGTCAGCCATCCAGTGATAGAAGCCACAGTGGACAGACGATATTTGTGGCCTCGCTGCATCTGCCTGAGGTCATGGGTGTAGCAGTCGAGTCTGACATTTTGACGCCCAATGTAATTCACAGCTCGAGTATTCTGGTTAATGTCGGGTTCGCCCCGAGTGGTCGAGGGGTCGGTTTGTGGAGAGTGTGCCCCGGCTGGGTGAGGAAATCTCGGGCTTTCCCTTGGAAGTCTGCCGTTCTTTCTACCACCAGTTCACCATTTCTCTTTATGCAGGCTACGCACGCACCTTCCGATTCCTCAATTCGTCTGCAATTCGATCCTTTTCCTACCGAGTTGAAGCTCCGTCGGATTGCCTTGTTGGAGCCCAATAGTCATGCCATTCCGATTTTCCAATGCTCAGTGCTCACGCCTCTTTCCTAAACTCATCGGGTGACTTCGAAGACGAGTCTAAAATCATAGGTGAGTAGGGTGTACGGTATTCTGAGGTACTGGGTAAACACGGCCCCAACCAGGACACAGCCCGACTCCGACGTTTCGTTGTGGACGGAAGTCCCTTGAAGAGGCAGGATTCTGGTTGCCCATGGCTGTTGGATTTGTCCAAGTCGAAACGTCGGGACTCGGTGGCCGGCTGTCCACCGAAACGGAACGTTCGGAGACCGACTCCCGCTGACTCAGAACCACTTCCCATCGAGCTAGGGAATCTAACAACACGGAAATGAACCGTTCGATGAAAGCTAAAAACGAGCCTTGACGGTCAGATTATCGCGTTATCGTGCTTCGATGAAAACTCTCGCTTCCAGATCAGATGAGATGATGTTCGAAATATCTATGGATGAGGTCGGCTCTGGACTGGATTGACGAACCACACACGCTACTGTTTGGTCAATCTGGTTTCTCAGCCAAACGGGGCAACCAGACTTGGCTGCATAGTAATGCAAGATTTTCCTATCTTTTGCACTCAAAAACAACCCAATTTCTGAAGATATATATCGTACAGGTTACTGTACGTAGAATGGTGTTGGGGCTTACGACCAAAACACCTGAACCTTGGTTTCGTGTGACATCGCATGCAAATGCAAGCCTTCGATTCACCGCGTTGCGCGCAGATTCCCTGCGCTACGAGCAGCCAAAGACCCCTTCCCTTGCTCGTGTTTCCTCTGGTTTGGCTCACTCCCCCCATCCCACGCAGCCTATATCCCCATCAACTCCAAAGATATTTTCACCATTCCTGAGACTCCCAGTCTCTGACCCTGCTCTTCAATGTAATCTCATCACTCATGGCCCGGTCAGCCTCCGACGACTCACTTCGTGAAGCAGCGCCTGGAATTCGAAGAAATCAGTCACTCGACGGCTCTAGGAAACGCAAGATCGATTCCTCGCTCGTTGAGTCCGAATCGCGCTCCCCGAAGCAGACGAGAATTGCCCAATTGGACTATTCCACTCCATCCGCCTCCTGCCCAATCTTCAACTTCCACACGGGAAAGCTTGAGGATTATTTCACTGTGGAGTCAGCGACGCTTGGCGCAGGACAATTCGGCGTTGTGAGGCGGTGCGTCGACAATGCAACGAATCAGGCCTTCGCGTGCAAAACGATCAATAAAGACCGATTGCTGACGTCAGCGGCGAGAGACGAGGTGCGGCGCGAGGTGGAGGCAATGCGGAGCGTGGCGGGTCATGCGGGCGTGGTTCAATTGCGCGGTGTTTTCGAAGACGAGCGACAGGTTCACCTCGTCATGGACCTGTGCGACGGTGGCGAACTCTTTGACGAAGTCGTGCGACGCGGGCGGTTACCGGAGAGAGAAGCCGCGCTTATTTTTCGCCAAATCGCCTCCGCCGTGGCGTTTTGTCACTCGAAGAACATAATGCACCGTGTTTTAAAGCCTGAAAACATCCTCCTCGCATCCTCAAACACCTCACGACTCCCCACCGCCAAGCTCGCGGATTTTGGATTCTCAATTCCCATTCCCCCCGGCCATCGCGCGTGTGGCGTCGCCGGATCGCCGTTGTACATGGCGCCGGAGGTGCTGACCGGCGAGTACGGGGTGTCGGCGGACGTGTGGTCGCTGGGCGTGGTGCTGTACGTGCTGCTGAGCGGCAGCGCGCCGTTTTGGGGCGCGGACGACAACGGCGTGTTCCGCGCCGTGCTGGAGGCGCCGCTGGACCTGACGAGCGGCGCGTGGGCGGGGGTGTCGGCGGAGGCCAAGGGGCTGCTGCGCTGCATGCTGCACCGCGACCCGCGCCGACGCCCCTCCGCCGCCAAGCTGCTCTCCCACCCCTGGATCCTCGTCCACGCCTTCGGCGGCCGCGTCGTGCGCCGCGTCCTCGCCGCGCCTGCGCTGCAGCAGCGGCGCATGGGGGGGAGCGCTGCTGCTGTTCCGCTCTCCGCCTGACAATACTTCGTGACAGAGTGCCGCAACGTTATTTTTGGCGAAACCGCCATGACCATTTTTGGGGAAATGACACCACGACTGGAGCACAGGGGGATGCCAACCCAAGCGTTTTGACGTTACAGGGTTACATACACAAAGAGCTTAGAGCCTTGCAAAGCCCTCAGCTGCTACCTTCTGCAGCCAGGAGGCTTGGCTTGGCATGCTGCCTGTTAGATTGCTAACCATGTATTTTCCATCAACATTGTTGATGCTTGTAATGAGTTGTTGCAAAGTGCAAGACCACATCCTTGCGATTTGTATTCCCCAAACACGGTTGCAATGTCAGAACCAGTTGGATTTGTGGAAGTCTCGGAATCCTCTGAGGTAGTTTTCCATGGACTCTCTTGTCCTCTTCCAATGCACCTCCTGAATCACATCGTCTGCACTGCGCTTCCTCTCCTGTGGGGAACAAGCCAAGTTGGCATGATAGAACATGGACAGAAAAATGGTTTCTAGTTTTTAAGGATGTATGGTAATTGACTGGTAAACAGTCAGTGGCAGTAAGGGACGGGCAGAAAGGGAAGAGAAGGGCGATAACTCGGTGGACAGTGAGGAGCCACACCACTGCATAAGGCCACCAGGTCACCCTGAATCCCACCCATCCTCACCGTTCCGGATTCCCCCCAACCTCACATGGCCCCACCCTCTCACCTTGGGAATGATTCGGAAGGTGGTGCCGTCGTCCCTGACGATGAGAGTCTCGTTTCTGCGGTCGCGTGGCTGGTCCTCTGGCACATCCAGCTGTCACAGGGGAGGGGATGGGCGGTGGATGTGAACACAAGAATCATGCCGACCATGATCAACAGTATCAGCAGCAGAGCAACCATGATGGATGGCCGATAGCGGGATGTTGGATCAACAGTCTCATTTCTGCGGTCGCGCGGCTGGTCCTCCGGCAGGTCCAGCTGGCACAAGGGGGCACAGGAGAGCGGATGGGTGCTGGATGTGAGACAAGAATGATGATGACGACGAGCATGAGAACTAGCAGCAGCAGCAGCAGAGCAACCGTGATGAATAGTCAATAGCGGTATGTTCGAGCACAAGGGCACATGCGAGGAGGATCAAGACGGTGAGGGTCGTACGATGACGTTGGCACGGCGCAGTGTCTTGTCGTGGCCGTCAAAGACGTACACCTCCTCAAAGTCCAACACAAACTCCCGCGTGCCGTAGGTCGCGTCGTTCAAGTGCCGGATGAAAAACACCTGATGGGCAGCGGCAAGGGAACAGGGAGCAAATGCATTCCCCGGAGTGCGAGGCAGGTTGATGCGTATGAAGCATGTTCGACGAATGAGTGAAGAGTGAGGGAATAAGAGTCACAAATGGGGCACGTGCATTGTGCCCACGTGGCCAGTCGCCGGCACACTCACTTTGGTGACCTCTTCGATCTCCTTGGCGCTGGGCTTGTACGGGTCGGTGGAGTGCGGCAGGATCTTCCCCGCTATGTATGTCCACCGCCCCACCTGGCATCTGATTGGCTGAGTGGACAGACAGGGCGGCGGGACGGCGGGGCGGCGGAGCAGGGGAAAGAGGGGGGTCGTGGTAGCAGTCAGTGCAGGAAGTCGATGCGCGGTCTGGCGATGCATGCAAGGCGGTCACATATGTCACATCAGCGGGCATGTCTCACTTCAGTGGCTTCACGGCGCTGCCTGTGCCCGCGTACCTGAGAGGGCAGCGGTGCGAGCTTGCTGGGAATGGAGTAGACGTCACTGCCGGGCGGAGTGAAATACACCTGCGCGGGCATGGCACAGCGCACAGTGAGAGAGGGGGCAGGGAAGGAAAGGGGAGAGGGAGGGTGGACATGGTAGCATGGGTAAGAAGGCGTATGCAAGGGATGCGGGATGCGACGAGGGCGGTGGAGGGGGGAACTGAACAGAATGGGAGACCTGAACAGAACTGAACAGCTGTGCAAACGAAGCACAGCTGCTCAGCGAAGTTTATCAACCATACGCCAACCGTCTCTCCGCCTTTCCACCTAACAACCCTCTAACACCCTGCCAAACCCTGTCCCCCCAACCCTGTCCCCCGAACTCCAGCCCGCGCCAGTACCCCCCAGCCCTGCACCCCAATCCTGTATCCCCCGCACCTCGGAGAAATCAAACACGTCGTTGTCGCCGGCCTCGCCTCCTCGTCGCACGAAGAGGTCGCAGGCGGCCATGGCGATGCAGTGGAACGCCGCCTCCTCGATCCTGTAATCTACGCGCACTACCGCTCCCGCGCCCTCCCGCTCCGCCACCGCCAACCCTCCCCCCGCGCGCGCAAGCGCCGCGTCTCCCGCCAGACCCATTGCCCCTGTGTCGAGACCGTACGCGGAGGGATCGTCTAGCATGAAGAGATCATCTCGGCCGTCCATTTCGACCTCGAGCTCGGCGTCGAGATCGAGATCCTCCGCGTCGAACTCCATCCCCTCGTCGTCGTCGTCGCCGTCGAAGTCGCCCGCTCGCACGACGACTAGCCTCCGTCGTCTACGGGTCGCACAGACTGGGTCCAATGGAAGGCTTAAGCGCGAGCGACTCCGTTGTGAATGGACAGAGCAGGCGAGGCTGAGAGATTTTGACGAAGCACGAAGGGGTGGCGTAGGCAGCCCAAGATCCCGTGCCGCGACATTTGGCGAAGAAAACAGCGAGTTTGGGCTGCACCCGCAACGTACGGCGGCTGTACACGTTGACATAGCCATGCCCGTCAACGCTGACACAACGTTTTGTGACTAGATGCTATCGCTAGGATATGTTGCGATGGTGTTTCCGTTGAAGCGAGTGACTACGAACTGCGACGCTAGGACGACCTCACCTAGAGACGGGGCATTACGACGCTGGCTCGGAAAATGAAGCGTGATGTGGGCAAGCGATGCCGTGAGCTGAAGAACTGTTCACCAGACTCGCTACGGTGTTTCAGTCAGACTCATTTCCGTTAAGAAAACTCAGGCACATACATACACCGATTTCGGTCCAAATATGACTTCAGGAGGACCCACCATACAGGCATTGGCTACCTGACTATGTGCTGACACATAGCAAACCTTGGGTCTAATATATGCAAGCGTGGCACACACAAACCACAGCTCTCCTAGCCTTCACTCAGCTCGGAATAAGGTGATCTCCTGCTGCTTGAAGTATCGGCGATCCTCCTCGTCCACAAGCACTAAGTTAAGGAAGTACTTGACTGAAAATTTGTTGTTGATATTGCGGTAGGTGGGTGTTAGATCATATGGGCTGAGGAAGAGCCGGATGGGTATACACTCGCCTGTACACACAACAAAAGCATGAACGGGTAAAGGGAGGAAGAAGGGGCAGCATGCGTGAAGCAAGATGGACCGGTTGGAAATAGAGTGTAAAATAATTGTCTGAGAGAGGCTGCGAGAGATTACAATCTACAAGGTATTGAGAGAATTCAAAAGCAATTACAAGAACAATCCTGAAGACCCACCTCTTACTGGAGCTCCATCCATGACTTCATACTTGGCAAGAGTTTCGCTCTCATTGTAAGTATTCGGCCCTGAACCCGTTGATTCACGTCGCCTTATCTCCAGCTCCATGTGCTTTATCTTAATTCTAACCAGTAGAAAGTAGATTTTTCCTATTACTACATCCTTCAGGTGGTACCTGGTAAGTATTAAACACAAGAATCGCAAGTCAGATGGCTTGAACTGACAGTAACACCTGAAACAAAGGACCCCCAAACAATTACAAAAGCTTACTTCGATTTGTTGTACTCAAACTCGATGTGTAAACAGTCCTCAATGCCAACCTCCATCTGCACAAACACGAAGCAGGGGCTCCTAAGAGCTCAGGCTGAGTCGGGAGGGCTGCAACCCAAAGCACAAGTTTATGCCCACCTTGATTGTGTTGTTGATTTCTGGCTCTTTCAAGATATTCCGTACCTGCAGAGATTGCCATTAGCAAAAGGTCACAACAAGCCCTTTGCTAGAAGGAAAGATGAGTCTAGCAGCATCTCACATACCCAGAAGTCCTTCTCCTTGACAATGTTGGAAGAATAACTTCGACTGACAGTCACTCTCAGAATGTACCTGAACAATATGAAACACTAAGTGGCATAATCCAAACGTGCCGAGGAAATCCACGTGTGGCCACAAGCATTACAAGGTACGTACCTCAGTCTAACGTTGACCCCGTTGTACGACTCATACTGCATCTCCACGTTTTGAAACTCAAAAGGGTAAATCTTCCTCTGGGATATCTCGCCAGGAATGTCGAGCTCTCTCACTGCAACGACCACGCTCCAGCAAATTCGTGTCAGTTTGCTATGAGAGACGGCCATCTCCGAATTTTTAACTTCCCAGATGGTACTCACCGAGAGAGGTAAAATCGTAGAAATTTCCGCGATCAAAGAAAAGCTCTGCGGAAGTACAAGTGAACCAAAAAACACCTCTGTAAAATACCAAAAAGGGAACCCACACGTTTTACTGAAGCTAAAAGGGCACAGCACTGACCGATTTGGCCGATCAGCTCAATCTTGACTCCGGTGTGTTCGATTTTTTTCCCCGGCAAAGGCTCTATCCTCACCTGTCACATTACCCGAGTATCAGTTAGACATGTATGCCTAGTATCAGAACCAACCAGCCAAAAACGTATAGATTCGATTCTACCTCTCCCGCGACCGTGTCTTGGCCATGAAACAAGGGCACTAACTCTGTTTGGCCACTCTCCCGCTTAACGGATGCCTGCAGATACCCAAACATTAATAACGTTCAGATGACGGATCTGAGCTCCAATATAAAAATTGGGGCAAGACTAACGCGCTGGAACCACCTACTTGTTTTCGCGTCTCTGCGTCTTCGAAATTTATAGCGATTGAGCACGGTGGACCAAGGCCAAAGAGGCCGGACTGCAGTAGTATGCTCTGCGCGGCCAAGAAACTAAGTCAGCACGTGGAAGTGACGCAAACACGTAACAACTTGACGAAACGTCACGAACCATTTATAGTACTCTGTTGAAGAACCGCAGTCTGAATCGCTGTGTGTGACACTTCGGTACACCTGTTCGCTACGGATCGTTGCGGGAGCACAGAAAGCCAATAGATCGAAGTAGCTAACTCGGCGAAAGACTAACACAAAAAAGACCGGAGGTCGAGGCAACGGGCATAGGATGAAAGGTTCCAGGTCCTGGAACCACACAAGCAGATGTAGTTGACTAGGCTAGACCTACGTAGTCCACTTAGGCTGTTGATGCAAAGCAATCGGAATGAATGCATGAGTAAAGAAGTGGATTTTTTGGGTTTTGGGCCATAGTCGAACTGACGTTAACGAAACTCAAATTGTTATATACACGTGTAGCGACCATGCAATAGCGTGGATATAGAGTTCACTGACCAGACCATCCCCTTCGCCGCACCCTTCAATCTTGTCAATGCAAATCTCCCTATACCTGTTCCCTAGCTTCAGCAAAGCCGCACTTGCTTCGAGTGAGCCGCGCTAGACTCCGCATGCACGGCAATAGGTCTTCGTTGTCTGAAGGACATTATAAGCGCCCAGTGAATCTTTTTGGATGGAAGTGGTATGCGAAACTATCTGCAGTTTGCTTCTTGACCGGCGCTGCCATGGAAGCTTTCATGGTCAAGACTGGTTTTTGTACGTTTATCTCCGCCCGCAGACTTCGGCCCGTCTAAAACCACGATATGCTTAGCTTTTTTCGTTTTCGCTTTGCAGATGACAAGGTGACCGCGATAGAAGCGCAGCGGCGGATAGAATTGCGAGAACGCAGTACGGTAATGCCTGGGCATATTTCCATCGTGCTGGATTAATACACTGTGAAAGGCCGTTGAATACTATTGGGGCCGATGCAGGACCAACCTAAGCACTGGAGTCAGACTTTGTGGCCTTCGGACGAGCAATCTAGCTCTAAGTAATATGATATAGAGGTACGGTCAATGCCGCAGATTCAATTTTCTTGGTGAACCAGACGTGCATCGTACCACCAACGGTTCCGCCATCACTCAATCAAAAGGGACCTTTGAGCTAAGCTGAAGCCAGCGCATGCTGCTTGTGCAGTGCTTGTACTTACTTTTCATTACGTTGTTCACTGCACCGTGGTCATAGCGTATGTTCTTATTCACTCCTCCCTCATCTGTCTTGCAGCTGTATCTGTAGCCCTGGTCCAATGGGCAACATGGTACGACGGTGCGTCAGCAGATTCAAGATGGTTTAGTTGCTATTCGTGCAAACGGTTGTCACAGCAAGCTTGTCTAAGCATTTTGGTGCCACCCATAATAACACCATGTCCACCTAAGGTGCATGCTGATGTGGAAACAATTGCATAGAATAGAGAGTACAGATAACATACCGTAACCACTTGAAATTGTTGCAAGTAGAGGTAGGCAATACATGCTAACAAGGCCCACCTGCATTTCAGCTTGGGGGTGGAGGAGAGTGGACCATGGTAGTTGATTGCAGTGCATGTTTAATACCGAAATATAAATGGAAGCAATGGGAGTTGTCACGCTGTAGCGAATATTTCAACCTATCACTCCGTAACGAGATTACGTTCGCATCGTGGTTCGGCGAGAATTCGAATCATTCATCAACCACGCTTGGCATGGTGACGAATGGTCGCCATCGAGGCACGTGGCACGCTAAAGATTGTTGTTTGCTTTGTATGGGTGGTGCAGCAAACGTCAAGCAACTTGTACGACATCTCGAAAATATCTGATCAGATATTTCTCCACGCGCCGAGCCTTTGGCTCCACCTTACGGGCACACTCGGAAGGGCCTCTTCGTCGCCTCAAGACCACGTGTTGATTAATTTGGAAACCTTTCAAGCAAGCAAGCAAGAAATGCAAGCTTAGCAAGAAATGCTAACGCAAGCTTTTATGATGGCATCCCATTTTAGTGGGACGGATGTGCTCCTACTCTAACCCGCAATCTGACCGATTCAGGGGAGCTCGAAACCAGAAAAACAGGTACAAATTTTGGGCAACGCTACAAGACAAGATCAGGCTGACGTCCGGCCCACCCCGCATCTCTTCCTTCCTCTTTTCCCTGTGACTGCCTGCGAAATGCTCCGTTTTCGCGCGAATCCTGCGCCAAATTGCGCGACTTGCTCGCTCAACAGCTGTTTTCTATCTCCTCCCAATTCCTGTCTGCGTTTTCATCCCCTAACAATCCCACAGCATGGAGTTCTATTGCTGCTGGTGGTTGAATGCTGCTGTTCTGCCTTTCGCGAACATATGTTTTTTTCCCCGTCACGCTCAACCACCATGTCGATGTTCCACGTGAATGTGACGCCATGCTCGATCAACTTGCCAACTCACGGAATCTTTTTCTCGCATCTCGTTCAACTTCCTCTGGGCCTGGCTTGAGTACGCTCGACAAATGTCTGCGTCACTTGCTTTTTCTGTGTGCAAAGCATAAAGCACGCCTGGAAAAGATCTAGGCTGATTCATATTCATTCTTCGCTTTGCTGATATTTCTCCGGATCCCTAGCTTCTCAAACGTCTCCCATTACAAATCGTCGAGTCGAGTCTAGGCCGATACAGCCACTTTCATTCAGCCTCATCCAATAGTTCCCGGGACATTCTCCGCGTCTTCCTACATTTCACTTTCTTGAGATTCGCGCTCACAAGGATCTCAACTAGCGCGTCAGGCGTGCTGATTCGTTGATCGGTTTATCGCCACAGCTACTAGCGGTATGGACGCGCTCGGCAGGGACCCGATGGGGTGCGCCGATCGTGACGAGTCGATTGCTGCGATCGAACGGTCGATAGAGCAGCAAGTGCAACAGATCATGGCGCATAAGTAAGCTGTCGTAGCGCACGAAAGGCTCAATCATTCAGTCGAAGCTTCGACAATTTTACAATTTCGAGCAGTTCGTCGCAATTGACCGAAATATAATATTCCCTCTCTCGTCCGTGCCCATGTCTCGCAGGATGCTCATGGCGACGACCGGCTCTGGCGACTCCAGCTCCGTGGACCCACCGCGCTGGCTTCCCGCCGCTCATGCCGACTCCGCTGCTCAAACGCCCTCACATTCGGCGCGTTGCTCCCAGCCGGCGCAGCTGTCAAGCGCGCCTGGCGTCGCCGCGTGTCACGGTGGAAGCGCGACGCGCTTATTCCACCCATGGGTGCCACGCGAGACCGCACATCACGGCGTGCAATTCGGTATCCGCGAACCGATGGTCGTCTGGTCTCCGTACAGCGCGCAGCTCTACATGCACCCTCCCGCCCTTCCCGCCCTTGCGCCGAACTTCCCCGGGATGGCCGCTCCTCCTCCGCTTCCCCCCCTTCGGCCCTGCCCCCCGCCTGTTCCACAGCACTCCCCGCCGCTGTCGCAGTGGTCAGCGGGCCCCTCTACCGCTTCCGCCAAGTCCGCGCATGGCCCCACAGAGCACACGGGCACATTGCTGGATACGCAGCCCGGCCATTGTGATGCCGGCGTGAATTGCGGCGAGAGAACGGGCGTGGTGATGCCAGCTCGTTGCGCGGCGCCAGAGCTCCTGAAGTCGCGCGTAGTAGACCCTTCCGCCGCTAGCGCGGTGGCATGCGGAATGGCGCCGCCCTCGGAAGCAGGCGCCAATGACGCGGACCTATCGACGCGCTGCACGCCGACATGGGAAGCGGTGGCGGAGAGAATGAGCGCGCCGGCGGCGCAAGGGATGACGCAAGGGGTGGCGGAAGGAGGCTTGCTGGGGGAAGGCGACGACATCAGCGCGTGGTTGAGCCGCCTCGTGGGCGGCACGGCTGGCCCTGGCCTGCCGGATGCACCAACGACGGAGCTCACGCAATTACAAGGAAATGAGGCGACGCGTGGCCACGCGATGCTGACGTCAGCTGGAGTCGCGTCATGTGGCAGTGGCACCGCAGCAAGTGCGGGACGTGGCACCGCGTACAGTCACAACGGCGTGCGTGGTGATGTGACGCGCTGCGACAACGTGCCATTCAACAACCCCATGCCCTGTAACAGTCTCGGCGCCATGCCTGCTGCACCCGCACCTGCCTACATCTCAGCGCGCGCTCTCCCCTCCGCGCAGCGACATCCCGCCCCTGCTCCTCCTGCTACGCAAACGGGAGGAGGGGCTATGGGGGAGCAGAGAGGGGAGTGGGGGAGGCTAGGGGTGGGAGAGGAGGAGAGCGATGAGGGTGGGGGGGTGGAGGAGGAGAGATGCATGGAGGGCATGACAGTAGAGCAGATTCTGCAGGAGAGGCGAAAGCGCAGGTGAGAAACTTAGCATGCTTTCCAATGTAGCTCGGTAAGGATCCTCCACTGTTGTAGTCTGCACGTTGGCCTTGTACTGTGTCTCTGCTTTTGTTTGCAATTTTTGCCCGTGGCTCATAACTTTTCTCCCTTGCTGCCATGCAGGATGGTCTCTAATCGTCTGTCGGCCAAACGAAGCCGTCAACGCCGACAGCAACTGCTATCACATCTTGAATCCGATGTAAGGAGTATGTTGGTAGATGGTGTTTTGACATACTGTCAGCTGTACTTCTGATGCCTCTGTGATTGTGTACACACACCATGGTAAGCAGGATCTCTCACTCGCTATCTTCCTCCCATCCGTTTTATCTTGTGCAATGTGCAGGCTACCAAGCTAAAGGCGGAGCGGGAGCAGTTGAGGTCAAAGCTTGCACATGCTGCAAACAGGCTCACACAGCTGCAAGAGCAGCAGAAGAAGCTGGAGCACGAGAGGGATACAATAAAAGCAGAGATAGAGGCAGGCAGGAAGAAGATGAAATGTCAAGCAGAACAATGCACACAGGACATAGAAGCATGTGTTCTGTAGAGTTTTCTTGTATTCTTTCTTATGTAGGAAGTGTAGGAGAAAGCACTTGAGTGGAGTTATTTCATTAAGAGTGTTTGTTTGGGAAATGTACGGCAAGCAGAAATGACTTCCAGCACCTCTTGTGAATTAGATTCGACATTTTTGCGACCCACCTAGAATCCTCGCGCATTTCGTTGGCCTGATCCCCCTTATACCGCCAAGGTGGTTCTGTACAACGAGGAATTCCGCGTCTCCCTGCCTTGTTCCCCCGTGTGAATCGCCGCCATGGCCGCCACAGAGGCCGACGAGCGGCTGTTAGAGGACGAGCTCGAGGCGCAGCTGGCCGCGCAGCGCGCCACGCTGGCGGAAGTGGACGCGCTTCTCCAGGCGGAACCCTCCCCGGAGATCGCGGAGGTGCGCGGAGAGCTCGCGGAGGCGGTGGCCGCGAGCGAGGCGAGTCTGCTGCAGCTGAAGCGGCAGCGGCTGTTGCGCCACGCGGACAGACTGGCGGAGGGGCTTTCGGCGGAAGGGGCCGCGCGCGGCGCAGCTGGAGAAGATCGACGGGCAGAAGCGGCCAGCGCGGACGGGACGGATATGGGCGGAAGGAACGGAGGGGAAGGGCGCGCGGAAGGCGGAGGGGGGGAAGAGCCAAAGAGGAGTGAAGGGGAGGAGGGGAACGAGAGGAAAAGGGGAGAGTGCGGGGTGAGTGTGGGGCAGCGGTGTCTGTTCCGCCACGTGGACGGCAGGTGGTATGCGGGGGAGGTGCTTGCGCTCGAAGGGGCGGAGGACGAGCGGGGGGATGGGCAGGGCGGAGCAGAAAAGGTTGCTGGCAATGGGGAAGGGGAGTGTGGGGGAGACATTGGGAGGGCGGAAGGAGAAGAGAGGGGGAGTGAGGGCGCGGGTGCAGGCGAGGGAGGCGCGGATGGGGAGGGTGGCGGGGAGGAGAGAGTGGGGTTGGGGTACGTCTCAGGGACAGGTGAAGAGGTTCGAGGGAAACAGGCGGAGTGGGAGGGGAGGGGGGAGGAAGGAAGAGAGGGGGACGGGCGGGGGAGAAGGGGGGGAAGGAGCAGCAGGCGGGGAGGGCGGCGACTGGTGCGCGTGGGGTTCCTGTACCCCACAACCCGTGCGCACCAGCTGTGCCGCTTCTTCCTCTCGCGCAACTGTCACTTCCACCATCGCTGCCGCCACTCCCACGGCCGCCTCCTCCCCCTTTCCTCCCTCCGCGCCCTCCCCCCTCCCCCCTGCCCGCTCTCCCTCCCCCCCGGTTCCTCCGTCCTCGCCTCGTCCCCCCCGCCCCCACTGACCCACGCCCTCACCCGCCTCTGGGAGCAAGCAGAGCTCCAATCACATCACGCCACGTGTCCGGGAGCATCAGCAACATCGGCACCACAGGCATCAACAGCCGTGCACCTACCGACATGCGCCTGCACATGCACAGTCACTCTCGTGCGCGACGGCTCTTCCTCCTCCCTGCCCCTCTCCTGCCTCGTTTCCCTCTCCTTCCTCCACTCCCTCCCGCATGCCGCTGAGACCGCTCCTCCGTTGGTCCCGGGGTCGGTGGGGGACAGCCGTGGCTCTGGTAGTGACAGCAGTAGCACTGGCAGTGGCAGCAGCAGCAGTGAGGAGAGTGCCGAGGGGTATGAGTCTGATGACGAGAATGATGGTGGTGCTGGTGGTGATAATCCATCCGCCGTGTCCCCTTTTGCTGCTGCAGCATCGCTCGCTGCCTCCCTGCAGCACGCGCACGCAGCAGCAGCAGCGGGCCGTCAGAGCGAGACAGTGGCGTTTGCAGCGTGGGAGCAGCACACACGCGGTGTGGCATCGCGGCTCATGGCGCGCATGGGCTTCCAACGCGGTGCCGGGCTCGGCAGGGACGGTGGGGGCATCACCTCCCCTGTTGCCGTGCGGGCAGGGGGAGAGAGGCGAGGGGCGAAGGGCGGTGCGGTGGGTGGTGCTGGGTTGGGGGCGGAAGAGGAGGGCAAGGGTGGGGCGAGGGATGGGAGTGGGGGTGGTGGGGGGGAGGGGAAGAAGAGGAAGAAGAGTCGGGGAGGGGAGAGGGCAAGGAACAGGAAGAGAATAGCGGCTGCGAGAGAGGCGGCAGCAGCAGCAGCGGAGGAAGAGGGGGGAGGGGGGAGAGGAGACGTGTTTGATTTTATTAACGTGCACTTGAGCGGCAGAGGGAGTGGCGAGGGTGATGGGGCAGGGAGAGTGCATAGAGGAGGGAATGGGAGGAGGGAATCGGGGAGCGAGTCTGCTGGGGGCAGGGGCAGCCAGAGCGAGAGAATGGGAGGAGTGGGCTGGGGAGGAGTGCGAGGGGCCAAGGCACCAGGGGTGGCAGCAGCTGCCGGTGCTATGCCAGGGGCAGGAGGGAAGGGGCGGGAGGAGGAGCGGTGGGAGCTGATGCAGCAGGAGGAGCGGGTGAGGGAGGTGCGGGCACGGGTGGCGCGGTACGAGGAGATGGCTCAGCGCCATGCACGCGACAAGGTGACACTGGCCGCCGTCCACCGCAAGCTGGCTGCCGCCCGGGAGGAGCTGAGGCTTGTGCAGGGGGGCCGGGACTCGGCGCACTCTAGTGCAGCCCAGAAGGAGGCCCTTCGGAAATGGACCAAGTTCTAGCACCGCTGGGATGGCAGCTGTTTGTGTTGTTAGTGCACCCTCTTGTATTCCTGTCTGTTGTAGAAGTTGTAAACAAAACTTCCCATTAGCTGCTCAATAATCCTTGGCATATTGCTACAGATAACACGAGTGTGCCTAAAGCACTGCGAACAAGAAACATCCCCTAGACAGAGTGGGCCATGCAGCGCGGGTCAGAGCAGCACGCGGCCGGTGAGGCGGGGGAAGGGGTCCTGCTTGCTGAGCACGACGACCTTGCTCTTGTGTGACAGGTACCCCTTCACAAACCCCAGCGCTATGAGCGTGGCCACCAGCCCCTCCAACTCGTCCACATCCACCGCCACCCCCCGCCATGCCAGCGCCCGAGCCACCACCTCCAGCCGCACCTGGTGTGCCCGGGCTGGGTCCTTGGCCCTCTGCAACACGTGGCTGGGCAGGTGGGGGCGTGGGTGGGGGAGAGGGAGGGGGAGGGCGGCAGGGGCAAATGAGGTTGGTTGGTGGTGAGCGAAGCGAGGCTGTGAGGAGAGTGGCGGTGAACAGGGATGGTAGGCGAGGCGGCCAGGGGAAACAACATGCTAACAGGACAGCACTGGGCATGATGGCATGCGGGCATTACACCGTCCGGGGGGGTGAGGGGAATGATGGGATGGCACATTTGGCGTGGCATGTGAGGCACGGCAATGGCAACATGGCATGGCATGGTATGCAGGTGTTACATTTTTCTGATGAGGCGGCGGTACACATGCAGCTCGAGCTTCTCCAGCAGCAGATACACCCCCGCCCGCAGGAACCTGCCAAGAGGTAGCGGTAGGTGAGTGGGGGGCATACAGCGATGGGAAAAAGGGAAAGTGGCTCATGTGGGCGACAGCAATGGAGCGGAATCTGTAGCGGAAGTGGATGAGGAGAGCAGGGAACGACGGTGAGCATGGTGTGGTGAGCGAGGGGCGTTGCCAAGGAGATGAGACAGATGCTGCAAGGAGAAGTTGATGGCCCAGCCCCAGTGCATGGCAGTGAATGCGAGTGCAGGGAAGCGAAGGGCACGTACCTGTCTTCATTGGCACTGAGTGTGTCTCTCAGCAGCCGCACATCACCTGTTCGCATGGCCTGCACAATGCCCTCGTACTGCCCCCATGCCATTCCATGCCATGCCATGCCATGAGGCAAGCAACAGCAGTGTGAGGGATGGGCGGGAATCCAGAGTGACACAACAAGGACGGAAACGAGGAGAACGCGGAGCGACAGCACAGGGGCGGGCGGGAGGTGGAGGAGAAACGAGCAGCAGAGGGAGCGGCAACGGGCGAGGAGCTAGGGGCGACGGGCGAGTAGCGAGAAAGGGGGGGGTGAGGGGCGAGGCGAGCGGCGAGGGGCGAGGGGTGGCGGGCAGGGGAGCACCTCTTGCAGGTGATGGTTGCGGAGCAGTTGGGGTGAGGGCAGGTGGCCCAGTGACAGGCGCACTGGAATGAGATAGCGCAGAATGCGCCTGCGCGAGAAAGAGGCAAGGGAATTCAGGTGGTACGTGTGGCATACGTGAAGGGAACATGAAAGGCTGAAGAGCGAGCGGGTGATGACGATTGTACAAGTAGGGCGATGTAAGGCGCGAGCGCAGATACAGATGAGATGGAGGACGGTGGGGTGATGAAGGGAGAAGCACGGAGAATGGAGCAATGTGCACGCGCAGTGGAGCTGAAGGGATGTGATGGAGGAGGGAGGAGGGAGATGGGATAAGGGTGTGGAGGAGGGAAGATAAGAATAGGAGAGAGGGGAGGAAAAGTGGGAGAGCGCGGTGCAAACCGTATGTTGAATGGCTTGGAGCGATGGCAGCGCCTCAAGGCAAAGCCAAGCTTCTCATCTGCCTGCGAGCACATGGCATGGGTTATGGCGGTGGCATGGGTGGTTGGAACGGCATGGGTGGTGGGGGTGATAGAGCAAGCAGGCAGGCATGGGTGCGTGTATGGGCGGGGCAAGAGGGACAGTGGAAGCAAGTGGTGGAAGAACGATGAGGTGTCATGTGCAAGAAGGGCTGTGTGGAGATGAGCAGGTGCGGGCACATACGAGCAGGAAGGCATCGTTGAACACATCCAGGCGGCCTGTGTAATACTTGTACGTCACCTGCGCACACGTGGGGAGGGGGCGTGCACGTGGGGCGAGCAGGGGCGGAGAGACACAGCAGAGAGGGGCGAGTGCAGGGCAAGAGGCGAGAGTGGGCGCATGGGTGAGGGTTGGGAGGACGTGCGGTACCAACAGGGGATGCAATGTGATCCAAACACTGATAGACTGCTGCTTCTTCAATGCTCCACGCCTCACCTGGCCACACCTGTCCTCACCTGGTCACACCTGTCCTCACCTGGTCACACCTTTCCTCACCTGGTCACACCTGTCCTCACCTGGTCACACCTGTCCTCACCTGGTCACACCTGTCCTCACCTGGTCACACCTGTCCTCACCTGGTCACACCTGTCCTCACCTGGTCACACCTGTCCTCACCTGGTCTCTGGCCGGGTAGTCGTCGAAGCCCTTGGAGGAGTCAATGACACGGATGATGCTCTTGCTCAGATTCAACGTCCCCAGCTGGTGGCACGCATGCATGCACACACACGCACACACACGCACGTGCACACGCATGCAAACAGACGCACACACGCATGGACACGCATACATACTCACTCGCTCATCAGACAGACGCACATGCACACACAGGGAAGAGACGAGCGTGGCACGGCACACTGAGCAAAAACGGGAGGGCTATTAGAGCGCATGCGAGATAATAAGGGGCCGGGGTGGGAAGGGAGGGAGGGAGTGGGGAAAGCTGAGAGGCGAGAGGGATCAAGAGGGCACGAGAGGGAGTGAGAGAGTGAGATGGAGAGAGAGAGGGAGTGAGAAGGCGTGAGAGGGAGTGAGAGGGAGTGAGAGGGAGTGACCTTGAAGTAGATTTTGAAGAGTTGACACGCCACGTAGAGCGACCCCACCTTCTTAGGGCCCTTGCCCTGCCGTACCACGAAGGGGGGAGGGAGAGGCCGCGGGTCAGGAAAGAGAAAGAGCAGAAATCCCCAGGTCTAGCATCTCTCTTGAATGCAACTGTGATTCAAGTGAAAACACACGCACAGCAGTGACTCACAGCGATGGCCCCGAAGACCTTCATGAGGAACGACGCTGCTGCCTTGAGCTTATCTGGTGACTTGCCTGCTGCCCTCAACTCTATGTCTGCCTGCTCCCCTGCCATGCCACGCCATGCATGCCATGCCCGCGCCGTGCCACACCATACCATGCCATGCCATGCCATGCCATGCCATGCCACGCCATGCATGCCATGCCCGCGCCGTGCCACACCATGCCATGCCATGCCATGCCATGCTGTGTCATACCAATCACCATGAAAAGGCAGGCAGAGTTACGCCAGCATGCCATCCAGCCATGGCTGCCTAGCCGCAACCAGCCCCAAAATAAAAACACATTGCAATGAGCGCTACCCCCCCTTCACCCTCATTACCCCCCCTCCTCCCCTCGCCCCTATGAGTGCGCGCGCCTGACCTTCTCTGCCAGCACGCGGAGGTCGTGCACCACTGCGTGCAGCGGGGCCAGCGCCCACGTGCCCTCCCAGTTGCGCAGCACCGGTAGAAATAGGCTGGCGGGCGTACCGGGGGAGGAGGGGGAGGGGGGGGGGGGGAGGAAGAGAGGGGGTGTTATGACGGGGAGACAGGGCTATAAGACGAGCAGGGGGGAGGCGGAGAGTGGGAGAAGAGATAAGTGGCGCAGGACGCATTGCGCGAAAGCTGCGCGGTATGTATGGCGGTCATGAATCAACAGCAGGGAGCAGGTGCGAGAGTAGCATACTGCCACGGACGATGCATTACTTCGCGGCCTGCAGCATCTCCCCGAACGCGTCTGTGAATTGGTGCCGTTGGATTGCGGCCATGGCCTGCATCAACGGCAGCAGCATCTCGCCCAGCCTCTCCGGCACTCTGTTGAGCAAACAGGCCATGTCCTGCGGAAGACGCGACAGCGGACCGCGCAAGGGGAGGTGCGAGGATTAGCCCTGGCGGGTTTGGAAAGGTCGTTAAGAGCGATTGTCTTCTAAGAGAACGAAGGGGCCTTGTCGCCTCGATCGTACCCGCACGTGGTCGAGCCCACTGGCGACGGCCTCAGGGTAGCCTGGCCGGGACACCCTCAGCAGCGCAGCCAGCGCCTCGCCGTCCTTAGCATCTATTGCGCGGCTCACCGTCGCTACGTACTCCTGCACGCCGCGCGCAGCCATTGCACGTGATGCGTGAATACACTTTTCTACGCGCAATACACCAAAATGAATCTACTGCGAGGGAAAGGAGTGCGTGGAACGCTACGTTCGTGGCATCGTGGAGGACGGAATTTGATGTTCGGGGTCTTCTGCTCATAAAAACTCAGAATTGACTCGATGAAATTTCAAAGTACTGTACTTAGGTAAGGGAATTTGTGAGTCGACGGCTGGTGAATTTGTACTTAGGTAGGTGATATTGCGGAGCCCGCAACAGGGGGTATGGATTAAAGCGACGAACCACTCAATCACGGAGATCCCGATTCCCAAGGCAAGGCTTTCAGGGGTGGCTAGTTGAATTTAGGCACTGGAGCCATGCTCGTTGCCACCACTCTCACTTCGAACGCAACTCTCGCCCGCTTAGCCAGTGGAAGCGCGCATCGAGTAGCACCCCGTCGTTCTGCGTTCTCGAATATCTCCATTAACAAAAAACGCGTCTTTCAAGCGAAGGCGGGGGAGTAGTGGTTCAATTGGAACTTCGACCTTTTGCTCCTGATGGGTGAATTTTCAACACCATCGTATGGAGACGCGCCTTACTGGGATGCACGATATGAGAAGGAGGGCCCTGAAAAAACGTTTGATTGGTACCAACAGTACACAGACTTGGCTCCCCTATTTGATCTTTACATGGACAAAGCATCCAAAGTGCTCATGGTGGGATGCGGCAATGCGGGTCAGTTCTCCTTTCAGTTTCACGCACATATTCAGGATCGCGTCATGGAATCGTGTAACCGACTCATAAAGACTGCACGAATTCCATTGTCGAGCAGTTCTCTCAGAGGATATGGTCCAGAACGGATACCAAGACATCTGGAACATTGACATCTCCTCGGTGAGTTCCTCAGTATGACAGTCTTACCTGCCTAGCACGACTCTCGGAGGTGACATTGGCCTCCCCAACGCCGTGTCTGGCATGTCGATTGCAATTGTGCAGGTAGTGGTGGACTTCATGAAAAAGAGGAACGCTAATATCCCGCAGCTAAAATGTCAGTTGGTCTAGCACTCTGTTCTCTGGTACCATATGCTCCATCACTTGCAGTCGTACTCTCCGTCTCTCTGTTCGGAAGATAATCCTGACATGTCCCACTTGCTCCAGATGACACGATGAATGTTTGCTCCATGGGGTTTGACGAGTCTACTTTTGATGTTGTTCTTGACAAAGGTAAGGCCGAAGCTTGAACTTCCAAGATACTCCTCTTTTTCCTGGTTTCATCGTAGTGATCCAAACCCCTCTTCATGGCTAACTGTGCCTTTGCCTTGCAGGGACACTGGATGCCATCCTGGTCAGCACCATCCCTAACGCTGTGCCTTTGTCATTTCAATCTCTTTCCTTACCTGACATCCTTCTATCTCGTTAACTGTACCTGTTTGCAGTGTGGTAACGATTCACTGGAAAATGCATCTGCGATGCTAAGAGAAGTCTGCAGGTGCGCAGAATGTGACATCAGGGCATAGTCTAGTTGTGCGCTTCACAGTATGTCTAACGACATTGTGGCTTATTCTGTTGCAGAGTGTTGAAACCCGGTGGCAAGTTTCTTCTGGTAAGGTGCTTATAAATCCTGAGGCTTCAGTATTTCTTACCATTTTGTGTGTCTGCCTCTCCTCTCATGTAGGATTTTATGTTGGATGCAGATTACATACGGTGATCCGCAAGTACGCTTGTCGCACCTGCGAGTTGACAAATTGAAATGGACCATCAAAGTTCATGCCTTGCGTAAGAGTGTTTTGCTATGTTGCCTTCAGCTGGCTACGAATAGTAGCCTTACAGGACTCTACTGATTAAACATGAACCTTGTACGTTTCTGCAGCAAGGCCTGGAGCAAGTGCTGAGGTATGTCCGGCATGGTCGTTAGTGCCTGAAATTTCGCGAAGATGGGCGGATGGTCCCAAATGGCGAAGTCTTGGAGGGTGGGAATGTGCACTATATTTATGTCTGCACTATTTTTTTTAAAATTATATGTATATATAATAATTATTTTACAATAGTGCCCAGTTGAAAACTACATCACTCTAAGTTGTCTGTATATTGCAGGATTCTTTGTAATGCCATGCCAACGCCAGTTTTCAGGGAATGAGATCTGCGTTGCAAGTTGCTTTATAAAACAGCCCAGGCAAACATCGGTGCTGGAACGTTTCACCACTGCATTTGTAACAATATAGATTTTTTTATGCCGATCTGTTGAATCTAATTGTTTTTTGTTTTTTGGTGATGAAATACATTATACAATGCATACATTCACAGTCTTGACTGGTGTTGAATCTATTGTGTGACCAGTCTGGTTGGTGGCTATCAAAAGTACAGTAGGGTAGGGACGGAGGAAAGGTGACTATGAAATACATTATACAATGCATACATTCACAGTCTTGACTGGTGTTGAATCTATTGTGTGACCAGTCTGGTTGGTGGCTATCAAAAGTACAGTAGGGTAGGGACGGAGGAAAGGTGACTATTATCGCGTATTCATGCTGTCAACGTGTCACATTCTTCGATAATATTTGGTATTTCCAGATTACGTGGCTGCGCTTTGGTTGCTCCATCGCTCCGCCTCCCCATTGCCACATTCCCTTCTGCATTTCAATCAGCAAGAACCCAGTCTCTTGGAGCATTTGCTTTGTAGGACTTGCTAGCTTGGCCAGGTTATCAAGTCGATTGTCTGTTACTGTACTCGAAGGACTGTAGTGTATCATGGCGTCCCTTGCAACAACCGCCTCGACGCCCACTATGACCCCGATTAGAGCTGCATTTCTGCAGAAGACGCTTTCGAATCCCCGATATAGTCTTCTGCGATCCGGGTCAGTTGCGCGCCATTCTTCAACACGGCCAGTCGTGTCCTCGCTGACGAATGATCCTCGGCCAGACGCCATCGGACTTGCCGTCTCTTGTCGGCCCGTTCCTGTTTCATCCACTAGTCTGATGCGCGAAGCTGATGACACCCTAAGCAAGCTTCCCTTCATGATCTCTGCGCCGTTTCTGCTGCAATGCCTGACTGCGTTCCCCGCGTTGGCTGAGGAGTTTTCGTCATCGTATTCTCCAGAAAGTTACTACGCATCCCTCGGTCTCTTCATAATCTCCATACCTGGCCTTTATTCGCTCATCAAACGCGCCACAAAATCCAAGGTTGACCGACTTTTTTTATAAGGTTTCGTCCAAGCATCTGCTATAACAATGCCAGTTTTCATATGCCGTTGTCGACTGAGATGCGCATCCGGAAATAATCAGTGTCGCGTGCTTCGTTGGGCAGATAGTGCGAAAGACGTTTGAGGTGCCGGGTCCTGCGGTGCCTGGTGCGAAGCCTCTGGCGGTCTTGGCCGGCGAGGTGACGGCATTCCTCCAACGCAACAACTACAAGGTCATCGACATGAAGGATACTGTCACGTGAGTTCTCATACTTCCTCTCGTAGGCGTGCAATGCATGATAATGCTGTGCATTGTGATGCAGAATGCCTGTACATAACCAGCTTGTTCCAAAGGGAGTTTGATTTACTTCACTAACAAATACGTGCCATAGCTGAGAAATACAAGTAAAACAAGTACATAAATTTGTTCATCATATTTATTCACAGCAATGAAAGAATTATATCCGTTATTATCTCATGGTTTTGTAATACATGCTCGTTATCTTACCTTGCTTTGACTTTTGTGAGGAGTGCATTTTGAAGGTGATCTGTTGGGTAGTGCGCTTTTCCCGAGTCTTCCATTCAACAAGTCTGAACCCCGATTTCTGCAGATTTGAGGGGAAATTGGAGCCTAGCCGCAGCCAGGCAGCCTTTCTTGTGTTCTGCACAGCTCTGAGTCTTGCAAGTGTGGCTCTAGTGCTCACCATTACAAACCCAGAGATTGGTGAATGGTGGTATTCAATGATCGGCATCTCACCCCTTGCGTAAGCACTCTCATCTCTCTTTCTCCTGAAAGTTCTTCTGTAGGCAGCTTCTGTTTGTACTTGTAGGGCTTTTCTCAGCCCAACAATTTGCATGTGAACCGCCTGCTCTGTAGTCTTTGTGCGCATTCCTGGCTTGTTCAACGTGCATGTTTGTTTTTTTTTTGTGGGTCTGACTGCAGAGGTGTTTATTACTGGACCAAATCTAGTCGCACGGAGCAGATGCAAGTCAAGATGGTAACTTCAGACGATGAAAAGGTCACTGACATTACGTTTCAAGGGGATGATGAGATTATTGACCGGTTGCGACGGGAACTGCAGATAATGGAGAAGGGTGCGATATATGTGAAGGGTATATTTGAAATGTAGGCGCACATATTACTGAGAAATTATGTTTTTCTAGAGGCAGTCTCTTGTGAATGAAACTGAATCGAACCTGGGTGTGCTATATTCTGTGAGTGAGACTTATATCCATGGAAAAGAAGCACTTGGTTTGCATTGATCAAAACGTTCCGTTCAGTCCAGCGGTCTCTCACCCCTTTGTTGCGTGTATTGTTTTCCTCACAGCAGAATGCCTCCTTCTACATTCATGCTCGAGAATGCCCACGGTAACTTGCTTCACTCACGAGATCGATTGACCTCTACCGTTCCCTATTGGAAGGAATTCTATCAGCGTGCATGTTACAGGGCAACGTCGAGCATTTGATGCCCCATTGCCTTGATCGCACTCCCTAGAGCAGCCCCACTGGCACTTGTTGACCACACCTTACTTGCGAAACTAGGGTAGCGACTAGAGGGAATGGCCAAGGAAGCTTCGAACGCGGAGGTCGCACTTCCAGATAAGCTGGATTCCAGCAAGCTTGTTGCAGAAACAGTCGATGGCGTGGCCGGGGAAATCCCTGTTATCGCGTACACGGAAAAGGTCGGCTTCTCACTGCCTCGTTTGATGCGTTTTGCTCCTGAATGCTTTCTGACATTCGGCACATTCCCCCACCCCGCATGCAGGTCTTGGCAGAGAAAGAAGCGAACTTAAGAAAGTAAGCATCAATTTTATCCCAGCAGTCTGCACTATCCCTCCAAGCAGTCTGAACCTCTTCTCGTGCCCCGAAGTGACCCTGCTCTTGGCGGTTCACATGCTAATGTCCGCTCGTGTGTGTGTGTGGCGGCGGCGGAGCCATCAGGATCATCCAGGACAACTACGCGAAGATCCAGGCGGTGGAGAAGGAGCTGGAGGCGCTGCACCTGGAGGTGAAGCTCACGTCGGGCGCCAAGAAGGCGGGCATGGAGCTGCTGCGCCAGAAGATCGAACAGAGTACGGAGAAGGCCAGGCTGCTGCGCAAGAAGGAGGAGCAGGCCAAGAAGGTGGGGGGGGGGGACAGCTGTGGATGGGCATGCAGCCTATTGAGGAATCGACGATGTGCCGTGGGTGCGAGGGGGAGAACATGCAGCCCATTTGTTTCTCACAGTATCTTTCAGTGTTGATGAATGAGCTGGCCAGTTGATTTTCAAGTTGTGGCTGTCGATGCATGCAGGTATGGGAGGCAGCAGCGAAGCTGGTGGAGGAAGAGGAGAAGAGGAAGCAGCAGCTGTGTGATGACCTCAGGATGATGGTAAGGAGCCTTGTGCCAAGGGACTCATCTCCATCATCATAACTCCTTTCCACGTTCAATGCATTCGTGGCGGATATACGCTGGAATCAGCCTACACCTGCATTCCCCATGCCCCATGTATTGTTCCCATCCCCCCACCACCACCCTCCTGTGTGCGACGCACACACAACAGGTGCAGCAGAACGCACTGCAGCAGTACGAGCGGTTGGAGGCGCTGACGCACAAGCTGGATGCACTCAACCCCGAGATGAGGGGGCCCGCCCTGGAGGCCATTCAGGGCCTGCGCGCCAAGATCGCTCCCCACGGCGTCCTCCCCGTCTATGTGAGCTGCTTCCCCTTGCTCCTCCCTTCCTTCCCCCCACCACCCTTGCTCTCTATCCTTGCATGTGTGTGCCGGTCTGCTTTCTGCTCGTCGTTGCTCATCGCTTTTTCAAATACCTGTACATTACTTATAAGCTGTGTTGTCTGGTGTTCTTCGTTCATATCGACAGACGCCGAATGCTGATCCAGCAACGCAAGGCAGGGAGGCACCTGCATCTGCCCAGGGCACATGTGCCCCATCAGCTGCCCCTACGGACGCTACGAGCAGCACGGCGCCCGCGTCAACGGCAGATGCTCCTGCCACCACCCCCAAAGCCCAGGGGGCAGATGGGGACGCACAGAGCCAAGGGCAGGAAAGTAGCTCTGGCGCCACAGCAGCAGCAACAGCAGCAAATGGCAGTAAAGGAGCGGATGGGGGAGGAGCTCCAGCAGCGCGGCTGTCCATAAGCCGAGGGAGAGGCAGGGGGCGGGGGAGGGGGTTGATTGCCAAGGGGGGAAACAAGGCGGGAGGGGATGGGCAGTGGACGGGGGCAGGGTTTGATGTTGAGGATGAGAGCTTTGCATGACTGCACTGCCATGGCAATGGCACTGATTTTGACGAGCTCTCAATAAAATTATTCCTCTTTCATAACTGCCAGGTTATAGGCACTCAATACAGTTCGATATACGAGACTGGTCTGGGCTATACATATACCATGTGATAGGAGATGACGAAACCATATGATTCTGCAATTTATTCTTCTTCTCAGACAGGGTGAAGTGAGTAGAGTCAATCAATGCGCTTGAGGCGGGCATCGAGGTGCTTCTGCATGGGCTGCGACGTGGTCTCCATATCCACTGTGTACACCAACGTGCCCTCGCCCTCCAGCCTGAACTGCCTCACTATGCGCCGCACCTGCCCTCCGTGGGACACACATGAGGGGAGGGGAGGGGGGGGAGGTGAGGAGGGGGCATGATGGTGAGCAGGGGGTCACGGGGGTGGGGTAGCAGACGTGGAGGTAGGCAAGGTTTATGGGATGAAGGGGTGAGGTGGGGAAAGAGAGGGACGAGGAAGCCAATAAAGTACTTTGGGAAGAGGGAACGAGAGAGCGGGTCGCAGTAGTGGAGATGGGTGGGGAGGGATGAAAAGGCAGGCGGTGCACCTTGGTGGCGTTGCCAACGAGCTCACTCTCCACGGCGATTGTCTTGGCCTCCGCGTCGTACCTGCCCTTCTGCTCGACGGGGAAGCACCTCAATGGGGTGGAAACAGAGCGAGGAAAGGCGTATGGAGGAAGGGGTGTTAGGGAAGAAGGGCTTTGGAAGGAACCCATGGACAACCTCCGGCATCCAACGGCTGGCTAATCTTAAGACAGTGGGAATTTAGCAGTCCGACCACAACGGGTCCTGGAAACATGGCAGCAAAGCGGCAGCCCACCTGCACTTCCGCAAGCCCTGTGCTCTGAGCGATCACAATCTCTAGGGTGCCGTCTGGCTTGGGCCGCCAGAAGCCGCTCTCCGCGTGCATCGGCTCGCCCGACTCCGCGCGCCACGTCTTCTGCGCGTAGGCAATCGCCGGCTGCACTGGGAGACGCGGAAGGGATGCGCGGAGCGGGGGAGGCGCGAGGCTCAGATGCGGAAATCGAGGCAGAGGGGGGTGCGACAGCACCGCACGACGTCGAACTAGGCCGGGTCTGGTGAGCGAGGCAGCATGCGACGGGCGCTCACCTTGCCGGCATGCGTGAGGGTGATTTCCTCCACGTATCTAAACGAATTTATGGTCGGGTAACCGCCCTCGCCCTCGCCACGCCATCGCCCCAGCATGAACGCGATCGGCTCCAGCGCCGGGTGCAGCGGCGGCGGGGCGCCTGCCATTGCACGCGAGCGTTAAGCGCGGATCGCAAACTGCGGAGCGGCGTGTGGTGCGACAGGAATGGGTGCGCAATTGGTGCGGAGAGGGGGGAGATGGAATGGGGAGGTTGGGGGGAAATGTTGCGATCGCTAAGGAAAGGGGGGAGGAAAGGGGATTTGTGCGATATTGGAAACTTGGCGAACTTTGATTTCGTAGAGAAGTTTAGCCTTCGCGAATTTAGCCGACAATGACCTCGCTCACCCCCACGTGGCACACCCACCGCACTTACAGATGTCGGAGCTGCCAAATCGTCACGGTCCACCGTCAACACACCCAGCAAAGCCACCCCATTCGTCGGGCGCCAGTCCCCATGACCGGGATCCTCGCTCATTTCAACAATCCAGTACATTGGGTTACTCGAGTCGCGTCAAATCCAAGGCCAGCTCGCTATGTGTGCTGCTCAGTGCAGTATCTGAGGCCCACGCAAATAAATTACTCGAATTCGGCTCTGGATATGTACTAGCTTCCCAGCACTCTCACAAACCTCCGGTCTTCTGAACTCACTCCCATGGCTTCCACTGTCTCATTGCGAAGCCTTCCTGGCACACAAGCATTGCTTACGAAGTCTAGCATTCCAAGAGCAAAAACGCGCGCAATCACAAAAAACTGGGTAGTAGCCGTTACCCTATGGAATCCCAAAGGAACGCAAGTCTAGCAATAATTTCGAGAGCCATTAGCACCGGAAAGGAGGAAGTCGCTTCACCATCTGAAACTGTTGAACGCGCCGACCAGATTGATGTCAAACCGACAGAAGTGGTCATATTCCAGGTCGGATGGATTCAAAGCATTTGCCCGTTGCTCGCATAAGAAGACGTCCGCGGTCGTCTCTCTAACCTCAATTGCTCGTCATTTTCAGGGATTCAACTGGGAATCCTGCAACTGCGATGAAGGATGGTACCAGCGACTCATGGACCTGCCAGAAGAGCTCTCTGCAGCGGGAATTACGGACGTCTGGTTACCGCCACCCAGCAAGTCAGTGGCTCCTCAAGGTGAGAAAATCTGGCCAACACAGGGAATGTTACTAGCCGACCCTTCGTGTAACATCTCACACCCGATAAAATGACTGCAGGATACATGCCAAGCCAGCTGTACAACCTTGACGAGTCCCATTACGGAAGCGAGGAAGAATTGAAGGAGCTGATTGGACGATTTCACGCAGCGGGCGTGAGGTGCATCGCGGACATCGTGATCAACCACCGGTGCGGCGACAAGCAGGACGAGAACGGCTGCTGGACCATCTTCGAGGGTGGCACGCCCGACGACCGCCTCGACTGGGGCCCTTGGGCCATCACGCAGGGCGACGCGCCCTTCGGCGGCCATGGCCGTCCGGACACCGGCGAGGATTTTCCAGCAGCTCCTGACATCGACCACACGAACGAGCGCGTGCAGCGCGAGCTGACGGAGTGGATGCTCTGGCTCAAGAACGACGTCGGCTTCGACGGCTGGCGCTTCGACTTCGCGAAAGGATTCGCAGGCGAGTTCGTGGGGAAGTACTGCGACGCGACGTCGCCCGCATTCTCCGTGGGGGAGCTGTGGACGACGATGAATTACGACGGCGAGAAGCCGGACTACAACCAGGACAGCCACCGGCAGCAGCTGGTGGACTGGGTCGACTCCACTGACGGCCGCTCCACCGCCTTCGACTTCACCACCAAGGGCATCCTGCAGGAGGCCGTCCAGGGCGAGCTGTGGCGCCTCCGTGACCCCAACAACAAGCCTGCTGGTGTGTGGGTGTACGAGAGGTGTTGCTGCTGAATGTGAATGTTTATATCATGATTTATATTATTCCGAATGAATCTCTAACCGTGTGAATGTGGTGTGCAGGGATGATTGGGTACTGGCCCAGTCGAGCAGTGACGTTCATTGACAACCATGACACCGGCTCCACACAGGGCCATTGGCCCTTCCCGCAGGACAAAGTGATGCAGGGCTATGCATACATCCTCACGCATCCAGGCATCCCATGCGTGGTGAGTACCCAGTACCCCTCGATACCACTGACCTTCACATTTCGACAGCGTGGAAACAATGATAGGCCTGACACCATGGTTCATGTCATGTGTGCTGCAGTTTTACGACCACTACTACGAGTGGGGCCACAAGGAGGCCATCAATGCACTTCTGGCCATCAGGAAGCGCAGTGGGGTGCACTCCAAGAGCAAGTGCACCATCATCACGGCTGAGGACGATCTCTATCTGGCTGACATCGACGGCAGGCTGGTTGTTAAGATTGGCCCGCGCTATGACATTGGGGACATGGCTCCCAATGAGGCAGAGTACCAAGTGGCTGCTTTTGGGGATGACTACTGTGTTTGGGAAAGAAGGCAGGAGGAAAGCCATGGCAAAGCACAACCATAAATATAAATAGAGATAGTCTATACATGTGAATAAGGCTGAGTGGGTGGGGGCTATCCTGTACATGCACAAGCATCAATTGAAAACGAGAAGAGCAACCTTGTCTAGCTATGACATGTTGGAAGCAAGCCACCAGAGCATGTTGGTCTTGGAGTTGCCATCATCAAAAGCACCTAGAGCAGCAATGTTCCCCCTGGCCCCCTGCGGATCGTACAGGGCCTGCAGCGCCCACGCAAACCCACGCCACTCGTCCGTGGCAGCGCCACTCAGCACGGGTTGTGCCCACTCCACGAGCTGCTTGGCGAACTCAGGGTCGGGAAAGAGGTGCTTGAGGTAAGGCGAGACGGGCAGCACCTGGATGCCCAGACGCTTCTCCATGTCCGCCGGCAGGGCGAACCACAGCGCGGCGTCACGCTTGGTGGACCACAGCACACCCACCACACGGTTGGCGTCTGCAAACACCGCCTCGTAGCCAGGTGTGAGGGAGGGATCTGGATTAGACGAGGCGAGCGGCACGTGCATGAGCGTCTGCTCGGCGAGGGCCTCCACGGCTGCGAGCGTGGCGCCCAGCGTGGCGAGTGGCTGGTCGCCAAACACGGACGCCAGCAGCGCCCCGGCATAGTATGCATTGACCGCCTCGCTGAAGCTCTCCTGGTTGCGCCCGTCACCGAACTCAAACAGCCCGCTGGCCCACGAGTGCAGCGCGTACGCGTCAAAGTGCCGCAGCCTCGGGAATGCCGCCGTGCGCTCCAGCGACATATAGTCCGACATCAGGTCCTTCAGCACAGCACGGTACTGGTCGCACCACGCGGGGTCGAACTGGGCAACGGTGGCAGCGGCGTAGATGAAGTAGCCGTAGTGGAAGTGGTGGTCGTTGTACATGCCCGCTCCAAACTCCGACCCCTGGTCAATCGACCCCGCCTCGCTCACCACACCGCCCCACGTGGGGTCGTACAGCAGGCGGTTACCGGGGAAGGTGCCATCCAGCCACGCAGAGAGCGCGGTTCGCAGGGGCCGCAGCACGGCGGCCACGCTGTCGTCATCTTGCACCTGTTTCGCAATGAGGGCCAGGCGGGCGGCGCGCGCAGCTGCCTTGCCGAAAAAGTAGGTGGAGGTGGAGGAGAGGGGCGGCAGCGCGGCCACGTCCTGCTTGAGGCTGGCCCTGAGCTCGTCCAGCAGCTGTGTGTCGGACGAGAGGGGCCCTGCTTCCCATGTGGATGGCCGATTGGGCACGTTGAGGCGCCACACGGCCCCCTGCATGCCCAGCGCCTGGCCATCGATGGTGGGGTATGCCAGCACTGATGCATCCGGCACCGACGCATCTCGCACGGACGCCCACCGTGCACTGCCTCGTGCCATGGAGGGGCCGGCAGAGGCGGGGTTGTGGTGGCCGCGGAGGGCGCCCATGACGCCGGAAGGGGAGCCGCTGCGGCGGCGGCGGAGGGCGGAGGCAAGGGAGGGGCTGTGTGCGTTCACTTCCATGCGCCGATGCACTGCTCATGGGAGGGAGAGGGGGAGAGGGAAAGAGAAGGAACAAGGGAGAAGGGGGTTAGTTTGACAGACAGATGATGAGGGCATTCCAGGTGACATAGCAGCACAGATGGCAACACACGTGGTAGCACGCCGTTACTCACTTGGCAGCGAGAGCATGAGCAGCGGCGCCTCAGTGTCGCCATCAGCCAGCTGGCGCCAGTGCTGGGTGCGCCAGGTGTACTCGATGAGGAACTCGCCCACCTGCGCGCTGCCCCCCACAGGCACCGTGGGCACGTGTGCGTCCAGCAGCGCCTCCTCGTCCTGCGGGGAGGTCCCGGGCAGCAGCGCCACGCGCATGGTCCCCGTGAATGGCGCATCCGCCACCAGCGCTGCCCCGTCCTGCCGCAGCGCCAGTGGCGACGACAGGTACACCAGCCACGTCTGGTGAGAGCGGAAAGGAGAAGGGGGGAGAAGAGATGGTGGTTGAGACATACAGTGAGTGGGGAGGGGGGGGATTCTATTACAGGAAGTTTGAGACAGGCGGGTGGAGAAGATAGCAGAGACGATGGGAGAATGTGACACGGGAATGGGGAGCGGCGGTTGGTGCGGAGGGCTGACCTGGCCGTTGTTGAGAGCGACGCGGTACTTGGTGCTGTCGCTGCTGGCCTCCACGCCCGTGATGGCGTGAATCGTCGTCAGCATGGGCGTCGCTTGGGGGCCGCCCGGGGGGAATATGAACGTCAGGAAAGGGGACCCGCGCACCAGGGGGACCTCGAGCGCGGGGGGATCGGAGGGCGCGGAGGAGGGCTGGCGGAAGGAGAGGGTGGCGGAGAGGTCGTCGTAGGCGGAGAGCTGGTGGGGGGGAAGGCCCTGCAGCGTGGAGAGCATGAGCGTGGTGATGAACGCCTGCACTATGTACCCCGCTTGGGGGTCGCGCACCGGCAGCCCCCACGCGACGCGCCCCTCCGCGCTCTGCACGACGTAGGGCGTGACGAGCTCGGGGTTGCCGCCCTGCCCCAGCACCAAGTTCTGCCACGGCGCGTTCGTCGGATACGGCGCCTGGGTTTGGGGGAATGGGGGGAGTTGGGCGGGATGAAAGGAGAGCAGCGGAGAAAGCACGGGAACGGGGGAAGACGAAAAAGGAGATGCGTCGAGCCGCTGGCAAGGAGCAGCCTCCGAGTTTGAGTGGGCACTGGAGGCGGAACGTACGCGCGCGCAGATGGGGGGAGCGGAGAGCACGCGCAGATGGGGGGAGCGGAGAGCACGCGCAGATGGGGGGAGCGGAGAGCACGCGCAGATGGGGGGAGCGGAGAGCACGCGCAGATGGGGGGAGCGGAGAGCACGCGCAGATGGGGGGAGCGGAGAGCACGCGCAGATGGGGGGAGCGGAGAGCACGCGCAGATGGGGGGGGGAGGGCTGGGAAACTTACGGTGAGGTTAGAGGACCAAAGAGCGGAAGGCGCGGGAGCCACAGTGGAGGAGAGCGCGGGGAAGGCCGCCGTCGCCATGGCGGCGGGGATGAGACGCGCTCGGGGTGCGGTGGGGATGACAGGAGGAACGAGCTTGGCGGGGTTGGCAAGGCAAGGCTGCACGCTGGGCGGGTGGGTGCTGTGAGGCGTTCGCCGTGAAGGTCAGGTGCGGTCGTTGGGGGTAAAGGCGCTGGATTGGTGCTGCTGGACGGAGAATGGCTGATGCACCGGTGGTGATTGTAGATTCTGCGATCGCGGGAGCTACTAAATAAAGCTCTCCCTTGGCAGCATCGCGTGCGGCCTGACTGTGGGACGTCGCGTCCTGCGATGGCAGTGACGCCATAGCGCCGGACACTGCGGACCGTGGGGCCCGCGACACGCGAATCAGTCCAGCACGCGAAATTTGAGTCCGCCACACTGCTAGCATTCTTCAACGGTCATCGACCCGTCCACAGTAATGCGGTACTGCGGCAGCCATGGCTGATTGAAGGCACCTGCACTGGTCCAACTCTGCGCCATCTATTGCTCTGCACTCCACCACACAACACGTGCAGTGCAAGGTTGGAATGGGAGCACCACAGCTCGCCTCGCCTGTTACCCACTTTCAGCAAGGCAATGTTGCGACCAAGGCAATGCGTACGCGATGTTCCAGTCGGTCGCTAACGACGAATGCGAAAAAAGACTGAGACGTCGCCACTTTCGCAGGCACCCCGATCTTCGAGGTCAAACGTACGTGCAGGTGAAATTGAGATGGCCCGTGCAGCATTGCATTCGCGATTGCCTATGGCTCAACCAGCCGTACCGAAATATTACAACTCGTAATGAAGCAGCCTCGTTCCACACTACAAACAAACAAAAGAAAGGTCAGATTACAATGTTGAATATTGCGAATACAACAACTGTCTAACCCTGTAGTAATCATCACACAGCGAGCCTTCGAGTACAAGCCTGTGGTCTGGAACCTGCACAAACACCACCAACAACCGTTAGTGGGGGTGGACTAAGTGGTGCTTCTAGCAGAAAAGGTATGAAAAGACAAGCTCACCTTTCTAAGAGCAAGAGAATCGCCACACTTGAGAACAGCAGATCCTGCTGTTGCTACAGGGGCCGACTCCACGAACGCAGCCTGCATCAAGAAATGGGGGGGAAAGACAATGAGATATAGAGGTAAACGTTACGGTAAGAGTGCACCTGCAAGAAAAACTGGCGTCACATTGAAGGATGCAGTTTGGCGGTGTAACAACGGTACCTGGAGTCCCTGGGCTTGCAGCAGCACTTTGAATTCCGAGAGCTTCACATCACCCACCATCACCGCCCGCCGCTTGGCCTCCTCCCCGTCCCCCTCCAGAGGCACCAGCTCCATCAGCGGCCGTGCTCCCCCCCCACTCGCCCCTCCCTCCTCCGCTCCCTCTCCTCCCGCTCCACCTTCCCCCTGCACCTTCTCCTCCCCCTCTCCCCCCTGCCCGCCAGCCCCAGACCCGGAGGGCGCGGGCAGCAGAGGGGGCCGTGTGATGCGGGGCAGCAGGGAGAGCGAGGCGGAGGGCGGCGCACAGGAGGAGGGGTGCAGACGGCCCTCCACGAATGCCACCTCGTAGTCGTCTCGTAGCTGGGGTGGGGGGAGGAGGGGAGCATACAGCCATTGGGGTTGGGAAGAGTGAAGAGGAATGTGGCATGTGCTGGCCATGTGTGCCTGTTAGATTAGATGTGCTAGGTAGAGGAGGGAAGTGGGCAGCACATGAGTGCATGTGCATGTGTGAGCGCATGCATGCATGGGTGGCACATGCATGGGTGGCACATGAATGGGTGGCACATGCATGGGTGGCACATGAATGGGTGGCACATGCATGGGTGGCACATGCATGGGTGGCACATGCATGGGTGGCACATGCATGGGTGGCGCGGTGCAAGAGCACGAGGCAGCGGGCAGGCAATGGGGTGCATACCTTGTGGAATCGCAGCCCCCTGAGCAGGTCGTCACTCAGCTTCACCTGCGCGCCAGCACGCATGGCAGAGAGGCACATGGCAGCAGGGGGCCGGAGGAAACAGAGGATGAGGGCATGCGACGGCCATAACTCATCCACCTTGCACCCACCCACGTGCCCATGCATACTGATACTACCAACCATGTCACCATGCTACACCCTACCACCACCACACCCTCCAACACACTGCTCCTATCCCTGCCACACGCCCCCTCCCCCTCGTCCTCCACAACCACTGCCCTCCCCAGGTAGGTATGCGGGTCTCACACGGAAGGTGGCGAGGTGGGGAGTGAGGTCGATGCTCTGCCCTGCACACGGCGCCATGCAGTCGCTGCAGATGCCCGCCTGCTGCATGGCGGCCGTGCCCTCCTCCGTGCCGTGCACCACCACCTGCCTCCACCCCGCCCACCACAGGGGGCGTGGGTGGGGGAGAAGGAAACAGTTTAGTTGATGGGGGCAGCGTTAATGGGTCACATGATGGGGGAATGGGTTGGACAGAGACGCCCACCAACGGGAACGCGAGCAGGCAGAGTGGATGCAATCATGCGGAGGGCATGCAATCATTCATTCGGATGCATACTGTAATATGGAAGAGGGGGAAGAGGAGGCGGGTGGGTAAGGGTGACGCACGAGGGAGAGGGGGTGGGTGTGGGCGAGCATGGTGCGCAGGGAGCGGCCGTCCGCCAGCCCTTGATAGTCAATGGAGCGGATGGCGCAGTTGACCTGCACCGTCACCTGCTCCACGCGCACACGGCTGGGCCTCTCCAGCCCCGCCAGCACATCCTCCGCCTCCGCCAGCGCCGCCATGTCCACCCCCGCCGCCTCCATGGCGCTCACCGTTGGCTGGGGGGAGTGGCAGCAGAAATGGGGATCAGAAAGTTGGGGAGGTGGGTGGGGGGTTAAAGCCCGAGTCCCAAATTGCGAGGCGCATGGGTCATGCTTTTAAAACTTGACGAAGTGCAGTGAGCAAGTTTTGAAAAGCAGCGCACCTGCAATTTGGAACTTTCGGGTGCTGACACAACCCCCAGGGCGAAATACGTGGGCTGGCTGGGTTTGGCGAAAAAAAACGAAATGCCCGAAGTCGGAATCACTCGCCAAAACCCAAACCAGAAAAAACCCCTCGCGTCATCTTTTTAAAACTTGTGCAATTTGGGCTTCCGGCTTTAAGAGGGAATGGGAGTGGGAATGGCTTGTGGGACGAGCGGCTAGTACGCATGCACTTGATGTGGACGCCATCGGAACAATGCTGCTCGCTGCTGTGGTCACATGGCAGCGAACCTGTGCGCTCCACTGACTGCGTGTCATCCTCGACAGCACCCATCACAACCACTACACCCACCTCACCACCTCCTCTCCACTCCCCAACCACACGCCCACCTCACACCCACATCCCATGTGTGGGCACTGGGCAACTCCACCCCCCTCGCTGCTCACCCGCATGGGGCCGCGCATGTGCTCGAGCACAGCAGCCAGCCCATGGGCGTCCACCACCTCGCCGTACTCGTCCCACCGCCCCCCGCCCCCCGCGCCCTCGCTCCACGGGAACACCGGCCCCGCCACCCACCCCTCGCGCTGCTGTGGGCGCGGCGCCGCGTGGCGGGGGAGAGCGCGGGGGAAGGGCGCGAGCGGCAGCGGGGAGAAGCCCTCACAGAAGACGTCCGAGGGGGGGCGAGCGGCCACGGGGGCCGGCTCTGGTGGTGGTGGGGAAGGTGGGGGAGAGAGGGCGAATGGAGGGAAGAAGGGAAAGGGGGTGATTGACGTCACTTGCCGGACAGACAGCAGCAAGAAAGGACGATGGGCACATGCACTCACAGCAGCTGCTCTCACACGCCCACCCACCTGCCCCATCAAACCCACCTGCCCCATCAAACCCACCTGCCCCATCAAACCCACCTGCCCCATCAAACCCACCTGCCCCATCAAACCCACCTGCCCCATCAAACCCACCTGCCCCATCAAACCCACCTGCCCCATCAAACCCACCTGCCCCATCAAACCCACCTGCCCCATCCACCCACCTGCCCCATCCACCCACCTGCCCCATCCACCCACCTGCCTCATCCCCATCCACCACCTCCCCATCCGCCTCCTCCTTCGCCTCCCCCTTCTCCCCTCCCCCGTCCTCCCTCTCCCCATCCCCCTCCTCCCCCTCCCCTTGCACGTCGTCCCCATGGCCCCCTCTAGCGGCGTCCATGGCGGCCTGCTGCTGCTGCCGCTGCTGCTCCTCGTACGCCCTCAGCTCCTCGCCCTCCAGCGGCACGCGCTCACTCATGCTCACACTCACCACCGGGAACCGCACGTCCTGTGTGTTGTGTTGTGTTGTGTTGTGTTGTGTTGTGTTGTGGGGGGGCAGAGGGAATGGGGGAGTATGGAGGAGTCCTTGAGACTAGGACTGCGAGCAGGCAGGGGAGAGAAAGGAGTGGCAAGTGTGGCGGGAAGGAACGAGAGCCGCCGGGCGCAACTGAGGCGGGCAGGCAGCAGGTGGGGCGGGCAGCAGGTGGGGCGGGCAGCAGGTGGGCGGGCGAGCATGAGAGCATCCAACCAGCCACACGGGCGGGCGGGCACCCACGTTGGTCTGCAGCGTGTGGGCGAGGGAGCCGGGTGGGGCACGCGAGGTGAAAAGCAGCGTGTTGCGCAGGTCAGGCGCCCACCGCACAAACAGCGCGCGGGCGAAGCCGGCCTCGAGACTGGCGAGCGACGCCAGCACGACCTTGGGACCCGCCACCTCCTCCACCTCCTCCACACTGTGACACAGCCGGATGTACCTGTGGCCAGGGCGACGACGGGTGGCGGGGACACGGGAGTTAGGGAGAGAACGGGAGATGGAAGGGCGAAGGAGAGGGTGGTATGGGTACATGAATTGCGTAGGTATGTGTTGCTGATGCAGACAGAGGCGCGGGTCAGACAGAGACACAGGAGGCGAGGGGGGGTGAGGGAAGGCGAGGGAAGAGGGCGGGCAGAGGGGCACTTGAAGTTGAAGGGCGAGGTGCGCTGGGCGTCGAAGTGGCGCGCAGTGGAGGGGTTGAGCCACTCCAGCATGGCCTTGGCGCCCTCCACCATGCTGTAGCTCTCCCCCGTCGCCACCACCACCGCCACCTCCCACCCCTGCAAAGCCCACAGCTGCTCCAGGTGCACCAGCAGCTCCAGCACGCGGCCCCCCGTGTCGACGGGCATGAGCACGCTGCCGCCCTCGCCCACCGTGCTGCTGATGGCCTCCGCCAGCTGTGCATCGCGCTGCTTGCGCTTGAGCGGCGGCAGCAGCGCCGTGGCCGCGTCCGCAATGAGCACGGCGGGGCGCACCACGGCCGTGTCCAGCACCGTGCGCCCCAGTATGCGCTCCTCCCTGCCATGGCGTGGCGCACGGGGATGGGATGGGGTGGCATGTGTCACCACCCATGCGGCACATGGTTTGCAAATGAGTGCGGGGAGCAGGGGGGTAGCACCTGTGGTTGAAGGCGACGGCATAGACTATGTCCTCCGTGTCAACGGATATTCTCCATATCGTGCCGCCCAGCAGGTGCCCCGCCGCCAGCGGCGTCACGCTGACGCCGTCCCGCTCCTCACCCACGGCGTGCGGCTGTGCGAACTTGAGGCGCACGGCGCCGTCAAACGCGGCGTCCACGTCGTCCAGCGAGAACAGCTCGAAGTCGCCCGCGCTGCGCCGCGCGAGGAACTGGTCGTACAGCATCAGCTGCGCCAGCCGCGCCACGGGCACCGTGCAGTACACGGGCGCGCGCAGCCCCAGCTGCGCGTACGCGTACGGCAGCGCGCCCGCGTGCTCCATGTCGGGGTGCGAGAGCAGCACGGCGTGGATTGCGGGCGCGACGGCGCGCAGCGGCTCGAGCAGGTCCGTATCCAGGAGGTCGGTCCAGCCGCAGTCCAGCAGCAGGTGCAGGCGGCCGAGCCGCAGGTGGTAGCACAGCGGCTCGTCGGCGTGCGCGCCGTACAGCGGGGTGAACACCACTCCGCCGCTCGGCCTCGCACGCGCTGTTACTGCGCCGTCCGCGACGTGGGGCGCGGAGGGCCCGCCAGGGTCCAAGAGCTCCATGGGCGCCGCGGGGTCCATGGCGGAGCAGGGGCGGCGGAGAGACGGTAATATTCGACGCGCGAAGGTGTCAGTGCAGCTCGTGCGGTACGACTGGGGAGGAATGGCCGCCGGGATCGGCTGACGAAGTCAGGGCATAGCGGCCGTGGTCATGCGTCGAGGCAATTCGAGTATGAAAGTGAGATTAGTAGCTACGTTTGCGCGATCTGTAGCTTCGTGCGAGTGAAGTGGAAAGTGAGGCCTGAATGGGTGCTGCGGGGTTGGGATGGGAAGTCACAAATCGAGTCTTGGTTGGGGTGGTTCATTTGTCCCTGCCGTCATCGTGTGCATGTGGTACACTCCGGTTTGAAAGGTCAGAGGCACACACATATGCGCGTAGAAGAGCATCTCGTTCCGCTGCTCTGCACCTGGGCCCGATGGTCAGCGGCACGTCCCCGTGAGTCTGTGCGCTTTGTAACCCAGCCAAAACTGGTTGCGCTCGTCGCGAGCCACACCGCAGCCGCACCGCTTGTTGCGCAGCAATGAGTAGCGAGCGAGATTGTCTTAGCGGCCACGCGCGCGATAGCAGCCAGGGGTGCGGCGCAGCACCGGATGAGGCGCAGCTGCGCGCGAGGCTGTCTGGACAGCGCGCGCACGATGGTACCGTGTGGTCTGCGCACGTCCCGGCGTGGTCGTCTCCGCTGCCGTCACATGCGCCGCCGCACGCACCGGCGCAGCCGCAGGCGCTTTTCAGCGGCCATGCGCGCGGACAGATGGGTGCGAGTCAGGCGCGCCAACCACAGGTCCCCCTTGGCGCAGACAGTGCGAGAGGCGGGGCAGCGGAGATAGCCAGTCGCAGCGGCCCGTCACTGCCGCTGCTGGCCTTCCAACCGCCCCTCACTTTCCGCGCCACTGCCGCGCATCCCGTACCCTACTACCCCGCGCCCTTTCCGCAAATTCCCCCAGACATGCGTTTCCCCTTGGTCCCCACGCCCCCCGGTTCCTTTCACCCGTACATGCTGCAGCACACCATCCGCGCCCCTTGCGCCGTCGTGGGGTTCTGCGCTCCTCCTGTTGGCTCCGCCCCTCCCGTCGCAAACTCCCCCTTCCTCCCCGCGGCGAGCGCCCCTTGTGCGCGCCCGTCTCACCATCCGCCAGTGCCGCCAGCAGCCGCCTCCCCAGAGGCTGCATCACACGCGCAGGTGGAGGTGAGCGCGCGAGCGACGAGAGCAACGACAGTGGCGGCAGCGGAGGCGGGTGGAGGTGGCAGCCGATGCTCACCCCGCACGTCTGGACAGGGGTCCGCAGGGGTTGGTGCTGGTGCTGCTGCTGCTGGTGGTGGTGCTGCTGCTGGTGGTGGTGCTGCTGCTGCTGCTGGTGGTGGTGCTGCTGCTGCTGCTGCTGCTGCTGGTGGTGGTGGTGCTGCTGCTGCTGCTGCTGCTGCTGCTGCTGGTGCTGCTGCTGCTGCTGCTGCTGCTGCTGGTGCTGCTGCTGGTGGTGATGACCCAGGAAACGCATCCAGAAATCAGCGCCCACAGGGGCGGAGGCAGAGGGGGAGGGAGGGGCGGTGGGGTCGTATAGACAGAGCGCAGGGCGGGGCAGGGTGGGCTTCGGGCGGCCAGCAAGGTGGGGGGGAGCAAGGGGCGGTGCAGGGGGAGAGAGGGCAGCGGAAGCGGGATTGCGTGTATGGAGGCAGGGGAGCAGGGGGCAGCGGCAGCACGAGCAGTGCGTGCAGCAGCGGGGGCACCCCGGGGAGTGGCGCGTCAGCTGCAGCATCAAAGCAGCGGGAGGGGGCGAAGGGGGGCGGGCGGAAGAAGGCGGCGGGGGCGGGCAGTGAGGAGGAGCAGCGGCAGCGGCAGGCGGAGAAGAAGAAGCGGCGGCTGGAGAAGGCGCTGGCCACGGCGAACGCACTGCGGAGCGAGCTGCTGGAGAAGCGCAAGCAGCGCCGCCGCCAACAGGAGCTCTGGCTGGACCGTGCAGGGCAGGCCCTGGCTGAAGCCGTTGCTCTCCGCGTGCTGGTGGAGGAAGAGGAGGAGGACGAGGAGGACGGGGAGGAGGGGGAGCGGAGGGGGGGGGGGAGGACGGGGGCTCAGGAAAGGAAGAGGATGAAGAAACAGAGAGAAGCAGCAGCGCTAGTGGCAGCAGCAGTGGCAGCGGAGGCGGGAGCAGGAAGCGAGAAAGAGGCAGAATGGGTGGTGTGGGCAGTGTGGGTGGTGTGGGCAGTGTGGGTGCCGTGGGCAGCGTGGGTGGTGTGGGCAGTGTGGTGGCATCAGCAGCATCAGGAGGAGGTGGGGTGGCAGTGGAGGGTGAAGGTGAGAGGGGGGCGAGCAGCAGTGCGAGTGTGCAGGGGCGTGGGGCAGCGACGGCAGGCGTAGGCGGCGGAGAGAGGGATGCAGGCGACGGGTGTGGTGCACTGGCATGGGGCAGCATGTGTCTCAGGGACGGAGGGGCCCATCCCAAGGCACTGGCGGCAATTGAGGGTGGCAGCGACCAGAGGGAGGAGGGGAGGGGGGGGGCAGGAGGGGGAGGTGGGGAGGTGTCCGAGTCGTCCCACAACTCGGTGCACTGGCACAAGGGCGGGCAGGCTGGCTTGGGGGACGGCAGGACGCGCTGGTTGGAGGGCATGACTCAGAGAGGGAGTGATAGGGTACACAGTGACAAGGGGACCTCGGGGGAGGCAGGCAGGAGGCTGTTGCCCATGGGCCCTGACACTGAGATCGGCAGGAAGGAGAGTGTGGGCGCTGGGAGGAGGAGAGATGGGGAAGAAGGTAGGGAGAGGGGAAATGCTGAGGAGGAAGAGGTGGAAGGAAGGTTGAGGGGTACTTCTTTGGGCCAACGTGCTGTGAACCGCCACTCCCCTGCTGCCAGCCCAACTGCTGCCTCTCCTGCAGCCAGTAATGGAGCCAGCCTAGCAGCACCAGCCGAAGCAGCGTCAGCACCCACTGCAGTAGTATCCGCAACAGCAGCAGAAGCTGCAGCAGCAGCAGCAGCAAGTGTTGAGTTGGGGACGGGAAGGTGGGAAGTAGTTGGAGAGGTCGTGGGTTCAGACAAGTCAGGCAAGTCTAGCAGGTCTGGGGGGACAGCAGCGTCTGGAGAGCCAGGAGGTTCTGGCGGGCCAGCAGGAACAGCAAGGTCAGCACGATTAGCGGGGCGAGCAGGTCCAAGAGGAGGTCAGGAGCAGGAAGGCGAGGAGAGCGGCAAGAAGCGTGAGGGGGATGCTGGGCAGGCAGACGAGGCAGCAACAGGTGGCAGGGGGGGGCAAGAGGCAAGACATGGTGATGCAGCGAATGCTCTCATCAGCCGCCTCCTCCTCCACCCTCCCACCTCCTCCCCCTCCCCCTCCCCCCACTGCTCTCCCTCATTCGCGCCCGCCCCCTCCCCATTCACGCTCTTCACAGGCCTGCAGCTCTCAGAGCTGCATGTGGCTGTCAACAGCATTGCTGCCGAGCCTGCAGGTCCGGCAGCAGGCTTGGCAGCAGGAATTGGGGAGTGGAGTTTGAATGAGGGTTCGTTAATTCAGCCACACAGGTCGAATCTTGGTGACGGGGAACAGGAATTGGGAAGGGCAGGAGCTGGGTGTGAGGGGGGGCACATGGTGGGTGGAGTGGGTCTGGCATCTGGGCTGCGTGATCACAGGAAATTGGCGGCAGGGGGCAGCAGGGAGAAGGGCGAGCAGGAGGAGGAGAAGGGGACCACGACCTGGCCAAATGGAAGAGGGGCGCGGAAAAAGGAAGTGGGAGGAGGGCCTTTGAGGTTCAGGAACGTGGGCACTGGTGGGAGGTGGATGGAGGCTGCACGGGGAAATGAGTTGGGGGCGGAAGAGAGGGAGATGGCATCAGGAATGGCGGCGGTGCAGGCGGTGGCAGCAATGCGCATAGCGGAGGAGGCGCGGACAGAGGCACACGCCGCCAGGCGAGCAGCACAGGAGGCTGGGGGGAGAGTGCAGGCGGAGGATGGGGAGCAGAGCGTGCAAGGGAATGACGAGGTGAGACGAGTGTGCGGTGGCCGTGCAGTGTGCATCCGTCAGAAAGAATGTGTGCTCAAGAGCTCCTTGGTGTTCCCTGCCTCGTTTGTATCCGCTCTGCCTCCATCTCGCCCCTGTGCTCCGCTGATGTGTCATTTGTGTCCCCTGCATGCAGAGCGAGGCAATGGTGGTGGAGGGGGGGCCGTGGGAGCTGAGGGCTCGGCTGCAGGAGACGGAGAGGCAGCTGCAGGAGAAGACTGCCCGCGTCTCAGAGCTGGAGAGAAGCCTGGAGGTGAGGGGAATACTGAGTGGGTACATGACCAGGCCTAGGAGTCCGGTTTGAGGATGGTAGACTAGACAGACTTGTTACTCATTCCCTCTTTCCTCTACTGGTTGCTGGATCTCACTAGTTCCCTCCGTTTCACCTTCTTTCCGTCATTATCCCATGCCTGCTCGTCCCCATCAGGAGATGACGCAGTATCTGCAGAACCTCAAGGCCATCCTGCCGGCTGTGCCTCTCGCTGCCGCTGCCTCGCCAGCTGGCTTGGGCCCGTCGCTTGCTGCTGTGCATCGAGGGGCAGCAGGGGCAGGCGTGCAGGAGGGAGAGGTGGAGGGGCAGGGCGTGGGAGCACCAGAGGGCAGTGGAGGGGAGGGGAGCTGTGGCAGCACTCGCAGTAGGTGGTAGCATGGTGGTGTGGTATGGTGGCTACACCTTGTGCATGTCTTGATGTTGGCACTTCAGTACTGCCACTTGTGTCATGCTTTGATTCTCAAACATGATACTGTAATCAGTTCCTTCCTTCTTTCTAGATGCCTTCCAACTTGATGCAGTCCTGTTGTAGCCAGAATATTGAGTTAGTTATTATATAAATGCAATAACAATACAAAGCAGCTCCATTGATCAGACAAGTAGAAACCAAGCAAGCTGCTGGGCTGGCTTGAGGCACGGGTGCAGTCAGGCCTGAATGTAGTCCTCCACCTGCTGTGGCTTGTGGCGGATGGCAAAGACGGAGCGGGCGAGAGAAGCCATGGCGGCACCGATGATGCCGGCATCGTTCTTCATGGAGGCTGGCAGGATGGGCGTGCCCTTGGGCAGCTTCACCAGGTGCAGCCACTGCTCATGTGCATTGCTCACTCCCCCTCCCACGATCTGATGCCGCAGACAGACGAGCAAACACATGATCGGAACAAGGCAGCAGGGCGAGGGAAACAAAAGAATGAAAAGTGGTCATTCAAGTGAGGAGGAAAAGGGAGGCTGGCGGGTTGCTTACGAATCTGGAGGGCCAGAAGAGCTTCTCAATGTGGCCCAGGTACCAGGCGACCTTGTCAGCCCACTGCTGCCATGTCCACCCGTTCCTCTCCACCAGCACGCCTGCTGCTGCCGCCTCTGCCTCCACTCCATCCACCTCCATGTGACCCAATTCCAGGTTGGGGACCTGCACTCAGCCACCAAGGGAGACACCATAAGACATGAAGCATGGATGGCATGAAGCATGGATGGCATGAAGCATGGATGGAATAAAGCAGGGAACAGGCATGGCATGAAGCATGTGGTATGCATGAGCGGGTGTATCGCACCAGAATGCCATCCACGAACATGGCCGTGCCAATGCCGGTTCCGAAGGTCACAATGAACACCACGCCGCGTTCGTTCTCCCCCGACCCTGCACCGAAGCCCAGCTCAGCATAGCCAGCAGCGTCGGCGTCGTTGACGACCGTGACTGGCAGCCCTGTCACCCGGCTAAACAAGCCTTCCACGTCTGCTCCCACCCAACTGCTGTCGACTGACAGACACAGCCCAGGAATACGAAAGAGACATGGTTGAGGAACGAAGAAAGATTCTCTCATAGCGTGTCAGCCTAGGAACAAAGAGTGGAGCATCCGGATTGGAGAACGTACTGTTCGCGGCTGTCCATGTGGTTCCATCCTTCACCACTGCGGGTACGCCAATCCCAACGGCTCCTTTCCACTGCACTCACAATGATTCGATAAAGCACACTATGAGTGACCTGAGAACGAGCAGGTACAACTTAGGAAATTACTTGCTTGAAAGGAACAATCTATTGACCTGAAAGTGTTCAGCACACTGGCTGACGGCGTCTGCACATGCTTCGGGTGTAGCTGGGTTCGGTGTGAGCACGACAAATCGTTCCGCTAGCAGCTGACCCGTCCGAGTGTCAACTGGCGCTGCCTTTATGCTTGTTCCGCCGATGTCTATTCCTAAAATCTTATGATCGACGCCGGGAGTGAGCTTACTTCCATCATTCGATCGGTTTTGAATCGCACCGTGGTCCTTAAAGTCGTGTAGCTTTTCCGTCTGCATGAGTGATACTGACAAGATTCTGTGTGTTGAAGCTGGAACGCGAAAACCGTATCTGCACGGTTGGATCTCGTTCGAATGTCTGAATAGAGTAGAGCTGTGTAAAAGACTTATGGCTGAGGCGTTTCCCGCAAAAGAAGCCATTACGCAAGCCTGGCGTTCCTGCTGTGACGGATTTTTCTGGGGATTATCTTGAGATGATTGTGGGTAGTCGAAAGAAGCAGGTGGAATTGGGATGATCAGGCTGTGCGTGACCGTCACTCTCAACTCAACGGGACAACACCGAAGGAAGCTCGTCGCACAGCGCCTCCCATTGGCCGACGCCCTCAACCATTGGCTCGTTCCTGTCTGACTCGGCTTCAGAGCACGATGGTCTGTGCATCCCAAGGAGGATCAACGGAGACGATGCTCGGAATGAAACCAAGAAGGTACTGGCATCTCCAGACGCGCGGGGACTAACAACGAAGTGGACTAAAACGACATACCACAGCGAAGGCTGTTTTATGCGAACAATGTGTTCTCGTACTATGTTTAGGTTATGACATGTTTCCATTTCAATTTTGATTGCAGCAACATCTCACATTCCTACAAATACATGGCTTATATATACTTTCTTCAAAAAGAATTTTTGAATCTGATCACAGAAATATAAGGTAAAATGCAAAAAATGTTCATTTACTGACTGATACGATACATAATATTTTAATTATCACGTTGCAGAGCATAGTGTAAACGCCGTCCACCTGTCTGATTACTCAGCAGCGAGAACGTTATATTCGCTACACCACACATGAAAATACGGTATGGCGAGCTTGTTTCGATCACTCCGTTTTTGACAGCTTCTGTTGACAGGCCCTTTTGTGCGGATTTTAACCGCAACCGTCACTTTTCATGCCACGCGTCACAAACGTGACCTGGAGCGCCGTGTCATTGGCCATCAGCCGTGGACGGATCTATCCAGACCAGCCTCGCTGCCTGAGAGCTCAAAGTAAACCACCTTGGGCTCTCATTCTCGCCCACTCTGCAACCTCCGCTTCCAAACCTCAACCCTAGCTGCTTCTCTAGCCCGAAGGCTACCACTCCCCACAGCAGCCATGGCTTTCGCTGTCAGCAGCCAGAAGGTACAGCGTACTGTTTTTAGGTCAAAGCAGAGCTGCTCTAGTTTCTACCCGTACTGACGCCGTTTTGGCTTCGTCCTGCAGACTATTGCCACCTTCAACGGCTTGAGAGCCGCCCCCGCGAAGGTTGCCGTCGCCAAGTCCGTGGTTTCCTTCACCCCCCGGGCGCAGAGGCTTTCCATCTCCTGCGCTGTATGTCGTTTTTGTTTTCATTCTCTACGTGTTTCGCCCCCAGTCCCCGTTTTTGTGCATGCAAGCGGGTCATTAACAGCACTGGTCCGATCCCCTATCTGGCCGTTGACCCTGGTGTTGGTACAGGCGTCCCCAGACACCCTGAACAAGGTGCGGGGCATCATCGCGCAGCAGCTGGCCGTTGAGGTCGAGAAGATCACCGCCGACGCCAAGTTCGTCGACCTCGGCGCCGACTCCCTCGACACCGTGAGTCACGCCATTGCTTTACCTTTGCACTTTAGAATGGTTGATGACTGTGCAGTTGGTCGTTCCGTGCGTGAGTGGTTTGAGAGCGTGGATGGTTGGTTGTCCTGGCAGGTGGAGATCATGATGGCGCTGGAGGAGCAGTTCGACATCACCCTGGACGAGGAGGGTGCTGAGAAGATCTCCACCGTTCAGGAGGCCGCCGATCTCATTGAGGACCAGGTTGCCAAGGCTTAAGCCGTCCTGGTATTGCTCCAGGACTTGATTTTGTTCCCTGACGTGCGGTCATTCACTATGATATGTCAAAAAACCTAGAAATAAAACTCATTACGCTCACACTTACAGCCACATGGGTATCACAATATGCACTAAATTGGTAACCCAACGGCAGGGAACCACTCTACAACTTGAAGCCTGTGAAGAGGGCCACAACACCCCCTGTCATATTCTCGTATGACACGTTTTTGAATCCTGCTTGCTCCATCATGTGAGCGAATCTCCTCTGAGAAGAGACATGGGGCATGAGAAACATAAAAATGCACATTGACGGGTTGTCAGTACGGTTTGTATAACTGCAACAGAAAAATGTTTTTCAATGACGATACCTGGCTTGGAAACTTGCGAATGCTCTCCACGAGGTACTGGTAGGATGCTCTGTCCCCGGTGACTGCCTGGCCGATGGCTGGAATTACATTGAAGGAGTACATGTCGTAGCTGCCGGGAACAGCGGAGAGAATGTGCGGAACAGAGGGAGAAGAGGGTGGAAGAGGACTGAGTTGCAAAAATTACTGACAAATTGATGTAAACACTGAATCTCAAGTGGCAGCAATAAGAGTAAACCCTAAATCTGAAACCCTTCACTCATGGGTCCAACTCACAGTGCCTTGAAAAGAGGGTCCTCCACATGGCTGAGCTCCAGGCATGCAAACTGCCCTCCCTTGCGCAGCACCCTGCGCTCCCACATGCATGGCAGGAGGTTGTGGGGCACAAGAGTGGAGTGGGAGCACAGATGCAAGGGCAAGGTGAGGGGTATATACATACAGCAGGGCAGGGAAGGCGAGGGCATGGCAGGAAGCGGTGGTGGAGAGTGGTGGTGACCTGTGGGCCTCAGCGAGGGCACGGTGGATACGCGTGACGTTGCGGATGCCAAAGGCAATGGAGTAGGCGTCCACACTGCCGTCCGCCAGCACCGCACTCATGTCCTCCGCATCGCCCTGCACCCACTCCAACGCCGCGTCCGATGCCAAGCCTGGTGGGGCGGACAGGGTTGCGGCAGTGGGAAGCGAGCATGTGAAGACGATGGGGGGTGATGTGTGTTGAGTCGTGTGAACGGGTGGTGGACTCACAGCCCTTTGCCTCTGTGCCGCCTCACCTTGCTGCTGCGCCCTCAGCTGCCCCACGCGCAGCATATCTGCGTTGATGTCACACACTATCACCCGCGCCCCCCTCCCCGCCCCCTCGCCCTCCCTCTCCACTCCGCTCCTCCCTGCCCCTGCAGCAGCCGCCATGCGGCGAGGATCCGCCTCCGCGTGGCGGATGGCCCTCAGCACACGGAATGCAATGTCGCCTGGGGGGGAGGGGGGAGAAGGGGGCAGGGATGAAGGGTGTGGTGGGCACTGGCGCATTGTGATGGGCAGAGGTGACTTGGAGTGAGGAGTGCGTGCAAGGCAGAGGCAGGAACGAACATAGATGACGCAATGCCCACACGCCACACACTCAATGCAGGGAATGCATCACAGCTCAGCTCAGCACAGCACAGCACCACACCGCACAGCACACTGCATTGAGAGCTTGCAAAGTTGCCCCATCGCATGGAACCTCATCATCACCATGCTGCCATGCCCCCACCCCACCATGCCCCCATGCCACCATGCCCCCATGATCCCATGACCCGATGCCCCCATGGCCCCATGCCCCCACGACCCCATGGGCACCTGTGCCGCCAGCCACGTCGAGGTGGTGCATGTGGGGGAAGGGGTGCAGCGCTCGCACCAGCCTGGGGCACAGGAGGGGCAAGGAGCACAGGGGGCGCAAGGGGCGCAAGGGGCGCAAGAGGCGTAGGGGGCAGAGGGCAGGGCGTCATGGGGTTATGAGAGTGGGGCGGGACGGCAAGCGGAGAGAGAGCGCTTGGGAGAGAAGGCAGGGGATGTGCAGAGCGCGTGTCACGGTGAGGCACGTGGCGCACCTGTCCTTCCACAGGCGGTGCAGGCCCCCGCTCATGACGTCATTCATGACGTCGTACTTGTCCGCCACCGACGAGAACACTCCCCCCACGAGCTCCGCCTTCTCCTCCTCGCGCACCGCGCGGTACCCTGCCCGCCCCGCCACGCGCCATGCCCCACGCGACATGCAACATGCGCCATGCACACAGTCCGATCACACGAGGTTAGCGGGAAGGACACGGGGGACGAGAGGAGCGAGAGGCGCAGCAGGAAATTGCGGAGAGCAGCGCAAGCAGCGGGGCGCGAGGGGCAGCGGCCTACCGAAGTGGGTCGTCGCGGATCCGCCCCGCTCGCCGCCTTCGCCCCCCGCTGTCCCCTCCACCCCCCCTGCTTGCGCCCATGCCCCGCTGCCCGCCAGCCCCTGCGCTTCCTTCCGGCGGAATAAGCGCGGTTACCCGAGGGGGAGACAGCTCCATCCGCGCATGTTTGGACAGCGGAGGGAGGGGGACAGCAATTCGGTCCAGCGCCCAGGGGTGGCGCGAAATTTGGAGAGTGCGGGGGCGAGCGGGGAAACGAGGCGAGCGGAAACGAGGCGGCGGGCGGAGGAGGAAAAGCCCTCCGCACGGCGATGGCCATGGGGGCAGGGGGGTGATGGTGAAGTGCGGAGGGAGATGAATGAGGGGAAGGGGTTTTGGAAGGGGTGGGAATGGTAGAAGATATGGCGTGAGCAGCACGATTTACATGCGAGGGTGTGGCTCACTCGCCACACAAATTCCACCCCCCTGTCCTGGGTGACGCATCCTCGCTGCGCGCACACGCCACCCCCACATTCCCTCCTTCCACGCCTTGCCACTCCTTGCTCTCTTGCGCTCCACCTTCCACTTGGCTTCCCGAGCGTCGACCAGAATTGATTTAAGTGGACGTGGGCGGCGGGCATGGCGGCGCCCGCGGAGCGGCGCGCGGAGACGCGGTTCCGCGGTGCATCAAGTGCCGCGCGGCGGACGCGGCGGCGCTGGTGAATCAGACGGAGGCGCTGTGCGCGGCGTGTCTGCGCGGCGCGCTGCTGGGGAAGTTCAAGTCGGCCGCGAATGGCGGCAAGCTGGTCGCCAAGGACGATCACGTGCTGCTCGCCTTCTCCGGCGGCGCCGCCTCCAGGTGACGCGCTGCACTCCCCGCATGCACTCGCCTCGATGCTCTTTCCCGGCCGCCCCGCTTGTTTTCCTTCCCCCGATGGAAGCTCCTTCCAATCTTGGTTTGATCTGATCAATTCTGATTTGATGCAATGCCGTGCAGGTGCGCGCTCGACTTTCTTCTCGCCATACAGTCACCCCTCCTTCACTCACAAGGCGCCGCACCGCTCGGCGCGCAAGGGGCGGCGGCGAGGGGGCGCATTCCGTTCCGCCTCTCCGTTGCCTACGTGGACGAGCGCGTGGCGGTGGGGAATGACCTTCTGCCACGTGGCACTGCTGATAAGCTGGCATGCGAGTTGCGGGAGATCGTGAGGGACGCTGTTGCGGCGCACAGGGGCGCACGCGACTGTAGCGGGGGTGCTTGCGGGGAGGGGGGAGGGCGAGGGGCGGCGAGGGAGGGAGGGGAGGGGCCAGAGAGGGGGGCGCGCACGACGTGGCGTTCCACGTGGTGCGGCTGGAGAGTGCGCTCGCGGATGGGGGGAGTGCGCTGATGGAGGGTGACGCGGGCGGAGGGGAGAGCACGGGAGAGCGGCTGGCGGCACGGCTGGCGGCGGTGGTGGGGGGGGCAGCGGAGGGCACGGGCAGAGAGGACGTGGTGGAGACACTGCGCCTGGACGCGCTCATGCTGGTGCGCTCAAGGGCGGAGGGGGGGGGAGTGTGTGTATGTGAGCACGGATCGGACACATGGTGGTGCATGTTGCACACATGCACGAGCCTTGTTCCCAGCGCTGCTTGGCCTCTCACTCCACTCCACCCCACCGCCCTCCTGTGCCGCTCATCTCCCTCCCCCCAGTTGGCGCAGCGGCTGCAGTGCAGCAAGGTGGTGGTGGGCAGCACGGCCACTCGCCTCGCAGCTCATGTCATCGCCGCCACCGCTAAGGTGAGATGGGGAGGGGAAGGTGGAGTGGTTGGGATGTGGGATGTGGGTGGATGGGTGCTCTCGCTTGTCGTCGTTCTCTGCCCATCCCTCACTCCGCCCTCCCACTCTCACTCAACCCGCCCATCCTGTTCTCCTGCCCCCCCCCCCCATCGCCCCCATCAGGCGCAGGGCTATGCCCTACCAGCGGACCTGGCAGTGTGGGACGCACGGAGGGGCGTGGCGGTGGTGCGGCCGCTGCGCGACTGCTCTCTGCGCGACCTCGCCCTCCTTGCGCACCTCACCCGCCTCCGCACCGCCACAGCCCCCTCCCTCGCCACGCGTGCCTCCCTGCGGCGGGGCAGGGGGAGCGGAGCCACAGGGGGGGCGGGGAGCATCAATGCGCTGGCGGCGTCGTTCCTGGAGGGGCTGCAGAGGGAGAGCAGCGGGCGCCAGTTCACCGTCACTCTCGCACCGCCCTTAAGCTGCAACCCTTCCCCTTCAACCTCCCCCCCTCCCTCGCACCTCCTTCCCCCTCGGCTGCTGACTCCCCCCCTCCGCCCTCTGCGCCATCTGCCTCGCCCCCCTCCCCCCTCCTGCTCTCGCCCCCCTCCCCCCGCCTGCTCTCGCCCCCCCACCCCCGCCTGCTCTCGCCCCCCCACCCCTGCCTGACCCCCTGCTTCTGTCGTTGCCACAGCAGCTGCTGCCCCTTCCCGGCCCCTCTCCCCTTCCTCCTCCCCCCTCTGCTGCAGCTGCCGCTGGGGAGTGGTGGGAGCAGGGGAAGTCACGCGGTTGGGAGGAAAATGGGGGGAACGTGAAGCAGACAAGGGAAGGGAGAACGGGGAGGGCGGACGGGGGGAGGTGGAGGGAGGGGGATGGGGAGCAGGTGCAGGAGGAGCAGGGGGGATGGCGGGGCTGCCAGAGGCGTTTTTGGCTCGGGGCAGGGCGGGCAGCGGCAGTTATGCTCAGTGGCTCAGGCAGTGCGAGAGGTACGGGGGAGAGGGAGACGACTCACTTGGGTTCTCCCAGCAATCTTTCCTCCAATAATGCTGTAGCCCCTCTTGCCTTGCCACTCATTTTGCAGCCCCTCTTGAGCAGTCACCCATACTCCTCATCGCTCATGTGTGTGTGCCTTGACCCCCCATGCAGGAGCATCATTGCAGACTGCCTGCTGGAGGGCGACTGACGCACATGTGCTGCCATGCATCCATGCACCCACGCTGCCTGCTGCATTTCTAGGCCTTGGCATGGAGCCATGCATTCCTGGGTGGGTGCTGGCTGCAGTGCTCTAGGTTCTTGTGGCATGGCCTAGTGTAGCCTTTGTAAGAATCAATATTTGGGAGCCATCAATCAGTGGTCCCACATCTGTTCAACCCAGAGCAGGTGAACAACGGTCGGGCAATACCGCATGGCCTGAACACTATCTTCAGATGAGCACCATTATGACAAGCAGCGAGGCAACGTGAAAGGGCTTGTAGTAGTTTGTGTGACTCCATGTGGCAGTGTGGCGGAGGGAGGTGAGTTCCATGAGGCTCAGCTGCACAGGGAGGGATGATGCCACCTGCCACCTGCCACACCTCTTACTGCCGTCAGCCATCCCCTGTGCCGCTTAACCTTGCTGCCCTGTCCCACAAAGCTAAACCCAACTCTAATTTGCATCCAACCTCGCGTTCATGGGTGGAACGCCGTGCAATGCAACAAGCACATGGTGCCACGTACCCGTACCCTTGTGGCACACACTAACCCCATCCTGTTACCGTAGCTACCCATGGGTTGGAGCATGGTGGTGACTGGTTGGGCACTTGGAAGTTGGAAGCATCCAAGTGTGTGAGGCGGACAGTGCTGGGCTGGGCTGGCCCGGCATCATGACACGTGTGACGTGTCGAAAATTGGACTCAGGCACTGCACATTTCACACAGCGCCTTGGTGTTGGCTTGGGTGTGATCCACACAAAGATATTCTCAGCCATCACTACCCTCACTCATCTCTTCCCTTTAACCGCCACCCTCCCCCGCTTCCCCCCCTTGCCCCTCTTCACCCTGCATCCCCCCTCACAGCGTCCAGCAGCAGTGCAGCGGGCCCTGGCAGCCCCCCCTGCAGGCGCTCCGCCATCTGTAGACTGCCCACCACCCGCCGTGCCTCCTCCTCCTCTGCTTCCTTCCCTCTACTGCTGCTGCGGTACCCCCCGCCCCTGCCCGGCCTGATCTGCTACTGCCCTTGAGGCGCTG